TTTCACGGGCGAGAAGTGCGAGAAACGCGCGTGAATATCGCGGGATCGCGACGACGGTCTGATACGTTAACTGGCGTATGTGTTAAAAACGAGCGCACGCATCTACCATCAGCAATCATGAATTCTCGAAACACCGTTACCCATTTTGCCGCGCCTTAAAATGCCGTCCAACAGTTATTATTGCGCGGAATTTAATTAACTACACGTCCGCACTCTCTGTCTTTTTTCAAGACACTGTTCGGATTATTGACACGTCTTCGCCAAGTACGAGAAACGAGTTATGACGAACAAGATCGAGTTTGAATAGCGGATACGAATCGGAAAAGAATACAAAGACACGCAGGCACGTGTGAGCATATAATAATAATAAAAAAAAAAAGAGAAGACAATTATCTCGACGATATCGAGCCGATATCGAAGTCCAATTAATTTCCTCCTCGCCGCACGGTAATCCCGCACGTGTACGCAATAACGTCTTCCGCAATATTCATCAGACAGACCGGTAATCCCATGGCGTTATTTTCTTCCCTGTTATCCGTGACCTGCGAAAAATCCCTATCCCGCCCGTTATTAGCGATATAGCGGGACGGAGGAGGGGGAGGAGGGAGAGGAGGAGCAAGAGTCAGGTTAGAGGGTGAAAAGAAAGGGAGCCTCACAAAGAATAGAGGCGGTCGTTTGATAGCGAGGCAACGGATACTTAAGTGTCTACGAGGGAGGGGCCCGTCGTCGCAGGATACGTAGGAGAGCCGATGCGAAGTTGGCATCTAACTTTTCTGTACCGCAAGATTTAACGCAAGTTTCACCCGCACGCCCATTGTAATTCTAGGGTAATTAAACACAGACAGAGAGAGAGAGAGAGAGAGAGAGTCCCGGCTTTTAACTACTTTTAAACGGTTTTTAATTCCCCCCTCCTCTCTCTCGTTAAAACGTGTCGAAACTTATAAAGTTTCTTTCAGAGAACTGTAGGATTCCACGAGATTGGGAATATTATTTTTGAAGGTTAAATTGCCACGAAAAGTTGGTCACATTTTCCGTTTCATTTTTGTGACTGATTCTACCGGTAAAATTCCGTCGGTAACTTTACGACTCGCAAGGAGAACTCGCTTTAAATCTTACGACGCTGAAAAGTAGAGTGCCAGCTTCACGCCGGCTGTGCAGAAGATACATGTCTATCCCAGGTAGACGAGGACCCAGTGGGAGAGGCAGGGAGTGACCGGGGGAAGGGGGGAGGGTTCGGCGGAAACTGCGGAACGCCGAGCGAGGAGGATGAGAAAGGTGCCTCGAAAAAGGGGCAGTCGACTTGTGCGGGGCCGCGCGCGCGCGTTCTCGCTCCGTCTCTCTCGCTTTCAAAGGACGCCTACTCTCCTTAAACCTAAATATAACGGCCAGTCAAGTGCAATTCCTTTCTTCGATCGTTCCCCGCGCCATATTGGGCTCTCGCACCGCGCACCGCGCGCACGCACCAGGGCATACGCGCACGCACGCACGCACGCACGTACGCACGCATGCACGCACGCACGCACGTGGAATCGCGACACACCGAGCGCTCTCGCCAAGTCGACACGCGACGCGTTGTCGAGGCGACACCCTGTATACCTGGATGATGTCGAAAGTGAAAGTATCGGAAGCGAGGTATCGATACCCCGAGATACTATTCACGTCGGCTAGGTGTATGGAGTGTCCTGGGAGCCTTCGCGTCTCGCGCCGATCGACTCTCCTCGGTGAATTTTGCGGAGTTGATTATCTCCTCGCGAGAAATGACTTGTGAACGTGGGTCTCGCGTTCGTAATTTCTGCAATACCCGACACCGAGTGTGGAGCTCGTGACGACGTGGAGACGCGATGAGTTGAAGTGTTCTCTCAAGTAGTAAATTTCAATTGGCTTTAAGCGAACGATCAAGATTTCACGAATTTTCCACGCTGATCGTGTTAAATGTTTAAAAAACGCGTCATCCTCGGACGCTCACCGCGTGAAAAGTCGTCGTTTTGTAATTTCGAATTTTAGGGAACTTTTGGCAAAAAAAAAAAAAACAAAGAAAAAGTGCATTATCAGCGTTTTTCAAGAATGGTATAAAGCGAGAAAAATTTATTCGTGCAAACCTCGTATAAACAAAACGTGCCGAGCAATACCGAAGGGAAAAATTGTCCTCGTTCGAATTTTACAAATCACGGCGGTAAATATCAAGTTCTACTTGCCGGCTATCGGAGGAACAACTCGTGCGCACACAATTTCTCTCGGTTTATAACAAATGTTACCCCAGTTCTCTCTCGCTTTAATCGACCTACGCAACGTCAAACGCAACGATTGAGCCTCGCAACCCCGCATGCGCCGTGACTCTCAAAATCGAGAAACGATAAAAGCGTGACGTCACCGTCGGCATCTCTGACGTAATTCCAGTCGTATCAGCCCATCGTTGGCTCGGTCAGGAATATATCAGCGTCCGAATAATTAAAACCATCCCGATAGCCCCAACGATCGAAAGACGAACGCTCGTAGAGGGAACGTATGAAACAAAACTGTATCGGTTTCTTATTTTGATTTGTGTCACTTGGCACTTCGCGAAACGAGACGAAAAATATCAGCATCCCTAATGTCGACCGTTATATCTTAAATCAATTCCAAACTGTGGCAGAAATGTTGTTTTCTGAGCACGTTTGAAAACATGGATAATTATATCTTTCTAAAAGAGCAGGACGACTGCTGCGATATTAACCTTTTGCGCTTGCTTGTTCCCTTTAAGGGGACATTGTAAATGTAGCAAATAACTCGAATGTCCCTTCTAAGGACATGAAAAGACTAAGTAACGACACCTTGCTGCGTTCAATTTTCTCATATTGTGACAATGTAACTTTTGTAAAAAAATCATTCGACTTAACTTTTCGCTGAGTAGCAAAATTCCGTTGCATCATATATATATATATATCAATGGTATTATAAAAATGCCAAAACGCATGCTAGGATATACGATGTATGTACTTATATATAAAAATGTAGGCATGCATATGTATGTATATACATGCATGTACATATATGTGTGCTTATATGTGTATATTTAAATTTTTGCTTGTTTTCTTTAAACTCAGACAATAATTATTTTAAAATTCACTGAAAGTAATTTAAATGTAAACACTATTTCAATAAAATACGTTAATAAGGTATAATTATGATAATTTTATTTTACTTTTTTAACACGTTAAATGCCACGAGGATCATCAGCGAGCAGTGATGCCAAGATTAGTAAAAGCATTTAATTCAATAAATTGTAATATTTGTAAAATCTTCAATATTGTCATTGTTATCACAGTAATGTGATGGAACTGGATAATGATTTTATCATTGATTGATGCATCATTGAGAGCATGTTTGATTAATTTTGACAATATATTAATTGTAAGGACAATCTAAGGGAATAAATGCAAAAGATGAAGTGCAATGTGTGAAAATATAATAAATATCATTGTCTTTTGATCGTTGGATAGACTCGACAAGAATGAGAGAAATAATTGAATTGTGAGAGAAACAATTGAAACAACTGACCTCGGTAAAAAGATAAGTGAAATACGAGCGCGAGATGGATCAAACGCGCTCCAGCGCCGTGGAGGTGGTAATTGGTGGTGAATCCCAGTAAGATAAATGCATAAAGCATAATAATATAGTTCAATACTCCACCGTTTTATATAATATTTTACCGTAATATATAATCGCGTAACAAACAATTCATTCCGGCGTCATGTGCAAGTTATATAGAATTGGTTTGCCATTCAACGTGTTAAAGTAGTAAATATGTTAGATAATGTGTATCTATTGTATGCATATGTAGCATAGACATTTAACTCAGAAAGTATTGTTTTTGTAATTTAACGTTAACAATTCATTAACATATTAAGCGCTACGCCAGTCCCTGCGGACTTACGGTTTCGCCATAATATTTAGTTGCTTGCCTTTTAGGTCGAACCACTCTAAATCTTGACAATCACCGTCATTACTGTTTACATCCGTACTGTCTAACGAACTGTCGTCTTCAGATGATCGCGATACCCGATGACGTCGATTTTTAGAGGGCAAAAATAACTCGAGCGATGTATCACTTTCTGATCCTATCAGCACTTTAAGTCTTATGGGCACAAATTCTTTCTAAAATAATCGATAGATCGATGTGCTTTGTAGAACGCAATTTTATTGTGGTATTTGCTTAACTGACGGTTCGTTGTTAGTCGACCCGGCATTCTCCCACCCTGTATCTTGTTATCTCTTGTTTATACTTTGTGTGCTCACGCGTCGCTTGGACGAAAAGTCGACCAATATCTCGGCGTAGCGCTTAACATGTTAATGACATATATGACATATATACCTTAACATTGCGGCGGACACTGCCATTTCGTTTACACACATATATGTAATCAATAGTCAAGGTGTTCGTAACGTTCGCGAGTTGAACGCTGCAATTAAATCGGTCAGTTTGAAAACACCGTGAAACCATAATAAATATGATCGCGAAACAATAAATCGTTCTGTACGATTGCATCTGAAAGTTACACTGTGTACAAACGTAAATTTACTCGAGATATATATGCGTGAATTGTGCGATTTTAATTTTAATCTTTTCACTCTTTAATTTCACGCTCAAAACTTTCCAGGAAAAAAAGGAACTTGGAATAGCAGAAGAGGGATTTAGAGAGAGAGAGAGAGAGAGAGAGAGAAAGAGAGAGAGAGAGAGAGAGTAAAAAAACTCTGGAGAATCGTCTTGTAAAAATTGCCTTGCCCACGCTGCGGCATGCATCTCTTTTCGTGAACAAAAGATCGAAATTCTGCTTTCGAATCGGAATTCGCGGTTATTGTTGTCGCACGCGATAAGATTGAATCCAAGTTGTTACCGAGTATTCCGTTAGGATCTCTCGAGGCAAGTTTACGTCATTCTCAAAGTGACCGATTTCATTCGGACAGACACGCGGTACACGCTGTAATCAACAACAGCCAAGACAAATGGATTCAAGACTCACCCTGCATTTTCAGCGGCAGCAATGGACATGTGCCTCCTCTCATCGAGGGTGGGCGCGGCGTCGAATTGCCGAGGAAGATCCGTGGTAATGAATTGAGAGTCACGCGTACACGAGAGGACGGGCTCTTCTTTCTCTCTTCTCCCTTTCGCGGGGCGCACCGACAACTTCCTCTCGCTCTCTCACTACCACACACGTCGATCTCACTCGCGATGCTGTGAGCCACACACTATATAACACAGCAAGGTCGCGAGAGAACCACCAAATGCGCGACGAAACAATCGACGCACAAGTATCACAGAAACTTAACACACGCGAGTGAGAGCGAGCCTGCGACCACGCGCGCGCGTCTCGTCGCTGGTCCGCGGGAGCAAAACGGTAAAAAGAAAACAAAAAGAGAAAAGAAAAAGCTAACAGTGAACAGTAACGAGTAAAATTGCAGTCCGCCTTTCTCTCCTCACAGCGTGATCCCGAAAGGGACAACAAAGGAAGCGGACACGTGCACTGCCCCGAAAACAAGCACCACACACCTTCCGAAAGAGTCTCTCTCTCTCTCTTTCTCTCTCTCTCTCTCTCTCTCTCTCTCTCTCTCTCTCTATCTCTCTCTCTCTCTCTCTCTCTCTCGCGTAGGGACTTGAAAGAGCCCGGAAGAAGGTTTCGGCCGACGAGAACCTTCAACAGTATCGTCCTCGCGAACCACCGATCAATCGTCGATTAACCGACGCTCGACGAAGACACGCGGATCGAGGGAAGCTGCTGCATCCTTCTTCCGTCGATTTTCAGCCGCCTTCACGCTGGTCGACATTCGATACAGCCGGTGGCCGCTGTTGCTGTCGAGCGGACGGCGCAGCACGCGTTCGCTCGTTTCTCCTGCTTTTTCTTCTTCTCTCTTTGCCTCCCTCCCTCTCTCCCTCTCCCTCTCTTGCTGCTCTTTTGCTCCTTTTCTCCTCTCCTTCCTTCTGCGAAGGATGCGCGCACGCTCGGCAGGTGCAGCAGCGGAGGTGCCTCGCACGAATCGCGGCCTCCTGGTCACGACAGAATTTCGAGCACCGTCGGCTCTTCCGCCGGCCTGAGAACTCGAGTACGAACGAGCGCGATAGCGTGATCGGCAATCGACGTGATCTCTCTATCGGCGGGACGCTCTTCTCCTTCTTCTTCGTCGTCGTCCTCCTCTTCTCCTCCTGTGTCCTCGTCCAGGTCGAGATGAGCCTGCAGCAGCGCCAGGCGATGGGGAGGAGTGTCTTTTCTCCGAAAAGCGGGCTCCCCTTTTGATTTGTTTCCCTCCTTTCCTCGGGCGTCGTCCGATTTCCTGGAGGAGGTATCGCCGAGTCCCAGCGCGCCTCTCTAGCCCGGCAGCGAAAGCTCCGCTAAAAATCCTTGGAACTTGTGTGCTCGACCAAGTCCCCCGGAGAGGTCCTACCGATCCTCGCTGAACTTTCTCGCGTCCGCGAAGTTCAACGATTTTGCGTCGGGTAGGTCGCGATCACGATAAGCGGGTCGATCCTGGAAACGATAACGGTGAACGTGAACGTGAGAGTGACGACGATCGTTGAGAGAGAGCGCGGTGGGAAGGAGGGAGGGAGGGAGGGAGGGAGGGAGGGAGGAGGGAGGGAGGGAGGGAGGGAGGGAGGGAGGGCAGGAGGCTGGGAGGGAGGGAGAGAGGGAGAGGCAAGGCAGAGAGGCAAGCAGCAGCGGGGAGGAGGGAGGGACGGGGTGGGAGACGGTATTGCGTTGTAAAACGCGATACGTAACGCGTTAACGAGTGGGACGAGTAAAAAGAATTGCGCCGCGGTTACGTCGAACGTTACGTTCGAGGAGACGTTTGCATACGGTGACGAGTTCGTAACGCGCGCGCGCCCGCGTCGTTTCTAGCGGTCCGCGCTTGTAAGCGTGAGATAATCGAATCATTAGCGAACAAATGCTTTACTGACGCTCCCGTTGAAGCGGTAAAAGAAAAAAAAGGGGGGGAAGGAGGGAAAGAGAGAGAGAGAGAGAGAGAGAGAGAGAGAGAGAGAGAGAGAGAGAGAGAGAGAGAGAGAAGAAGAAGAAGAAGAAACACACCGCAGTTTCCGAGCGGATTGACATCTCGCGTGGGTAAGCGCAGGCTTTAACAAATAACTGTCATTATCGACAATGTGTTGTCCGTATCTGTTGCTCAACTCGGTTCTATTGTTAACGTCCGCTATCATAGCAATTATTATTATTATTATTATTTCACTCGAGTCTCGGACGTACGTTGTATCGTATCTCGCGCGACTACTACAAGTCGCTCGCTAATGGCAAGGAACCGTCGCGGGCGATAGGCGCGGAATAAATTCCGTAACGTTTGAGAATGTCATCTCGCATGTTTTTCCCGGCTATTATTATTACTTTCCCCGCGAGGCGACCGCGTCCGCGAAAAAAAGGGGGACGAACGTAATCTTCGCGCTACTGTCGGAACAATGTTACCATTGTCGTCGTGTCTTACGAGATAACGCGGCTCGCGATTATTTCACGCAGGATTGTGCTAGAAACACAGTTCGGCTCGCGCGGGAAAACCCACCCCCCCTCCCCGGCGCGCCCGGGGGGATCGCGTCGCGAATAATTTCCGAGGCGTTTTCACGAAGCGTCTCCGACGGCAGGAAGAAGGTCGACAAACCTCGCGATCTTTATCGGTCAGCGACGTTTCCTTTCGGTTTTCTCCCTCCCCCCGCCCCCGCCTTTTTCTTTCCAACGATTTACGAATCTGGCGATTCGTCATTATTCTTCGAACGCTACGTGCCGAACGAAATCGCGCGCCGCCTTTCGCAGAGAGCCGCGAGCGCGCTTACATATTTTTTTTCTCTCTTTTCGGCGCAAAGCAAGCGAGAAGGTTAAACGCATCCGCAACTAATGGCAGCTTTCGAAATCGCCGCCTCGCAACACACAACAACTGTCGTCTCTGCGTAGCCTCCATGGTGTAACCCCGCGCACATCACATGGCGTCGCGCTTGACGAGGCTGCCATTAATACAATAGCCTGTGCATGCCGCGCATGTCCACACGGCCCATTCTGCTTCCGAAACATATGTAGACCGTGGGCGCGTTTAGGAAAACCTCGAGATCGATATCGTCGGCCGGCGACGACGGCGACGGCGACGGCGACGGCGACGACATTTCGCCGCCCGTCGCGAATCCACGCCACGATTTATCCCATCTATATACGGGGTGTCCTGAACCCGATCTGAATTTCAATGATGGAATATCTACGGTCAATTCGGAGTCGATCTTTCGTTAACTACATGCTGTCACCGAGCTAGCCGAGACGAGCTTCGCGGCCGAGCGAGCAGGAACGACGATTGATTTTTACGTAACGAAACCTCGTCCGCGCTCAGCATTTGCATAGACATGATTCCTTCCGGAATCCAAGTTCAATCACCAAAACGTGTAATGTACCGTGCGCACACCGGATGGTCCCGAAATTCTTCAATCCGTCATGGAGCTCGTTACCGAGCTCGAATTGGATCGTCAATAAATTAACCCCGCAGCAGGCGCGTGGGTGACACGTGTCAGCCGGTCTCTTCTTTTTCTCCAACGATGAAATTCGCCGCCGCTCGGCCGGCCGAGCGGTCTCTCTCTCTCTCTCTCTCTCTCTCTCCCTCTCTCTCTCTCTCTCCCGCGAGCTAACGTCGCGATATTACGCGAGATCGACGTGCGTAGACGAGAATAGAACGCGCCGGGAATCGATCTAAGAAAATCTCGCCGCTTCGGCAAAAATATGACACGGCGCCGCCGCACGTGTCTCGCACGTATTCTCGCTCCTCGAGAGGAGGCACGAGGCGGCGATTCGATCGACCGTTTGCGCTAATCGCCCGAATTAACAGCAGGTGTGTGCTCGTCGACACCAGGTGCACCGAATGAAGATTCACCTGAAACGCGAAAGGATATTCCTCCCGCGACGCGACGCAGGAACACTCTTTTCCCGAGCGACTTTCCCCGCGTCATTCACGGGTGAGTCACTCGTTCGCGACGATCGCAAACCGGCGGTCGTCCGTTGCGAATCGAGTCGCTCGCGAGTCCGAGAATCACGCGCCGCTGTCACACCGCGTAAATTTAGAGGTCGCGCCAGCCGTGATCGGGCCGTGTTTTTTCGGCTTCGCGCGTACTTGAACGCCTCGCCAACGTCGCCAATTACGCGTCAAAAGCGCACGCGCGAGCGTCGTAATTAATTCGGACGTCGCGCTGCCGCGCTGGGTGCACCTAAAGGAGCGCGCCGCGTCAATCATCGATTTTCAGATTGCCTCCAAAACAAACACAACGCGCTCGCTCCCGCGCATTCGCGTCGTATAAAAAACATGACCTTGCGCGACCGAAGTTTTGCTTCTCCGCGTGAACCCCGCGAATTCCAACTCGCCGCGGACCGATCGGGAAAATCTCGACAATGGAACTCTACTTGCTGCCTCTCCATGTCGAGCAAGTCGTGCATTCTTCGCGATCTCTTATTGGAAGCATGATGAATGGCGGATTCGTATTCACGGACTGTTACTCGGCCGTTGGGATCGATATTTCTCGTTGTATGAAATGAATACAACTACACACACACACACACACACACAAACCACAAGTCGATGAATATAATTAGATAGCCCATAAAACTGTAACTGTACAAAAAAAGTATTCTATTTGTAAAGTGACTTCTCCCATATGATCTCATATTCTAAGCGAAGCCTTTTACAGAAAAAGGATTCCTCTTTCGATAAAGTGATTAAAATGAACCATTCATCTAAAATTTATTAAATATTATTCCAACTGTTTTCCCCTTATTTCAAGAGGATTTCCTCTTATATCAATTAATTTTCCTCTTATATGAAGAGGAATATGTTGATTTGAATGTCGGCTTCTTTTGTCCAGTCATGCTCTACCTCCAGACATGAACGAAAAAATAACCATATGTTCATGGGCCAGAATACTTGGCACGTTTTTTAAAAAAAGTATGTGTGTTGCTGTAACATATAACGAAGATAATTCACCCATATTTGGTCAAATACAGTTTATAATCCATTGCAAGAAGTTGAATAATATATTCTTTTTTTTTAACTATGTTTCATACAATTGGTTATGATAAACATCTTTGTAGCTATAAATATCCAGAACAAAACTGATTGGAAATTTATTTGTTATGATGATCTTTCATGCGTGCCTACTGATTGTAGAACCGGAGCCAAAAGTACATCTATATATATATATATATATATTATTTTTCGCTATATATACATTATAATAATTTTTTTCAAATTAACCAGTATAACCAGTAGAAATAAAGTACAGTAAGAATGAATAATAATCCTCTTAAAAGAAGATTAAATAATCTGTATATAAGAGGAAATTTATATTAAAATCAACAATATTTGCATTATACATATAACATATAATTCTCTATTCTAACTTTAAGAATAATGTGTTTCTAATATTTTCCTCTTAATCTTAAAGGAATCCTCTTGAGGCCATGTATAAGAATAAAATTCTCTAAAGTTTAGATGAAGTTCCGCTGGTTCTGAGATTACTTTTTTTGGGTGTGTCAAGCTGTAATTTGTCAAATGATGGGCCTAAATTTTTACTCGCGTACCTCCGTAATCTTGGCGAACTCATAAATTCGTTCGTCAAGAACGGAAGGCTCCGTCAACGTGAATCTGTCTGCACACTTGGAAATGTAACGCATCTCTCCAGTCTCGCGTCCTGAGTTCCCCGTCATGGCTTCCAGATTCAGCATCCGGACTGCTGACTGCCTCGTCGTGTACCGGATACCCGCGCTCGTGACACTGACACTGGCACTGACACTCGCGCGGAGGTACCACATTCGATCGGAGAAACGGGTGTTAATTAACGTGACGAGAGCCCGGTTAGCTGTATCAAATGCCGACGGAATATTCCGGTCACTCGACGGCAATAACGTAACGAAGACGCTCGAAAAAGTGTGCGCGACGATAAAAATTTGAATCTGCCTCGAGAAGCTGTCCGAGGTATTTTGAAAGTCGATTCTCGTCATCTTCCCTCGATGGCGATTAATCAGAGACGACGTGGTCTTTTTGCTCATATTTTTTTGCTGCACGTTTCTCGCCACGTCACGTATTTTTTCCCCCCATAACTGAATCGTTACGTTTCAAAGAGACGGGCCGGCCGATATCGTGACGCAAAGTATCGCGTATCGGCGCGTCAGTTGTCATTACTGTCGACTCGGAAAATATTTAATCCAGCGCCCGTCGGAATCGCGTTTATCAATTAACGCACGTCTCCCGGATCGAACTGTATCTGCGTGAGCATCAGTATCCGTGTCAGTGCAGTAACGTATATTGACACGACAGAGCGGCCGGAATCCAAGATGCCGGATGTCACGACACGAAACAACGATGGATCGTGTACATTTCCAGATGTAAAATCGTTTATCGTACCGATAAACTTTGTCAAAAATAAGGGAACAGCCGATTCAGAATTGAAGCCGGCACCAATAGTCCTTCGACGTACAACTATACCTTTGAGGATCTCTGATCACCAACAACGTGTGTATTTATTTCATCCAAGAAATACCGAGAATCGACTCGACCATGACTTCTTGTTTCACCCGAGACGGCAATGGTTCTCCTTCGAGTGTTATTTTTATAGTGGCGCGAAATTGAGATAACGTCCTATAAAATCGTTTCCAATTATTGAAAAGACCGATAAGAAATGAGAGAAACGGGGGTGGAGAGAGAGAGAGAGAGAGAGAGAGAGAGAGAGAGAGAGCGCGCGCGTCGTAACGTTTACGACACGTCAACATCGCAAGATTACCATTTGAAGTGTAGGGCCGTTTAAATAGCACCGTTGCCCCTGCGCCGCGTAACTTAGAGAGAATTTCAGAAAAGAACCCTCGACTTTATCGGCTCGTTACGCACGAGCGTGGATTAAAAAGTTGCGAATGCAAACGAACTTGTAATTTTATCGGTGCTCTTAATGCCGAAATAACCGTTGTGTCCTCTTTCGCTCTTCGATCCTACGATACGAGATAGCGGATCAGACAAATAATATTCTGTACGTTTAAACGAGCCCAATTTCCGCAATTTGCATTCTGCAACGTTATTTCGGAACGGAGTACATTCTTTTTTCGTGTTATACGCGCAGCAGCGGGTATATTATTGCCATTTGTCAAGCCTAACCTCCAAAATGCACGCATACACGGGCAGAGAAACGCGCGTGAATATTAATATTCCCTTAGAATTCTAGAAAACAGAGTCGATTCCACGAGACGAAAGGCGAGAGGACGTTCCCGTGGGAGGAAAGAGAAAGAGAGAGAGAGAGAGAGAGAAAAAAAGGGGGGCCAACAAAGAACACAACGGGCGGTTTTGCGTAGGAACGATAATTCTTAAACACCCAGTATGAAGAGTCCTCGCAACACACTCGTCAGAATATCGGCCGACGGAACCTATATTTTGCGAGACCGCATACAATGCGAGTTACATTGTAGCTTCCTTTCCTCGAATAGACTTAGGCCCGCGCGCGATCGCGTGACATGCCCTTAAGGGCGGCCGCCGCCGCGCGCTCCGCCGAGCTCATTAGACCGAGAAAAAGTTTAACGCAGAGATGAGCGAGAATCCGCGCGAAATTTTAGACGGACCGCGGATTCGCAGAATGTGCCAGCGCCGCGCCATTGTCCCAATTTTATCCTCCATTATCGTGATTCGCCGATCCCCCCGGGGACCGCCAAGCGCGAGGAAACGGAAGGATGAGCGGGGAAGAGGGAAGGAGAGATAGCGACGGTGAGATGTTTGTTCCTCTCGGAATGTGTGTATTAGTCGCGACCATAGAATAATAATAAATCATCAACTATCGCGGTTAACGATAACGCGGTTAACCCGAGGTAACGAACGCGTGCGTGCGAACGAACGCGGAGAGACGTTGGAAATCGCACTTGAGGCTGTCACGGGGAATTACGCGTCGCGACGCGGCGAAAAATGGCGAGGAGGTTAGAGACGCGAGTCGTCGTCGCGTGCAATAAGGAAAAAGGAGGAGGCGCACGATAAAACACACGCGATTCTTCGGCGCCGCATAATACGCAATATGCTCGAAACAGTTACTTCGATGTCACCCGTTATCCATTCAACGCGAAACCATGGTGAATCTTTTCCTTTCAACCGCGCTCTTTCACACTCGCCGCGCTGCAAAACAAAACACGCTCGGGCTCGAACGCCTCGGAAAGAGAAGAAAAACGGACAGAGAGAGGAGAGAGAGAGAGAGAGAGGGAGAGAGGGAGAGAGACAGACGAGGAAGAAGGGGAACGAATACCGAGGACTGTCGTGTCGTGTCGAGAGAGGAACAGACTTACCGAACCGTGCGACTTCCAAACACACAACGCTGTACAGTTCGTTCGCAGTATCGCCGGAGCGGAATCGCGAAAAGCACACAAGACACCACAAATCACACACGTACCTTTACCGATGCGTCCTCGACGCGTGCACGGACAATCCCTCTCCTCTCGTCTCTCTCTCCCTCGTGTCACACGCGAAGCAGGCGAGCAAGCAGGCAGAGGCAAGCAGCTTGGTTGGTTGGTTGGTTGGTTGGTTGGTTGGTTGGTTGGCTGGCTGGCTGGCTGGCTGGCTGGCTGGCAGGCTGGCTGGCTGGCTGGCAGGTAGATAGATAGATAGAAAGCCCGTGCGGCGTGGTGCGGTGCGGCGACGGACGCACAATCGAAAGCGCGATGGTGAACGCGCGAGAGCGCGCCACGGACGCGGCGGCGGCGGCGGCGCGCACAGCGAAGCGCGACGAACTTGACTCTCAGAGCAGCGGACCGTCCGACGAGCGAATAAAAACGGAACGTAGAAACCCGGCCACTGCTGCTTTCTTGCGACGCTGCGCGGGATCCGGCGCGCCGCCGTGCATTATAACGCGCGGATTATTATTCGCGCACTCTGCGACCACGAAAACAACGACAATGACGACGAGACGACGTAGTTGTAGTAACGCACTTCGTGGATGGCACACACAACACGCGCACGCGACGTATTCGAGCGGAGTTTACCCGCGACTGCTCGGCGATGACGATGATGACGACGAAGATGGTGACTCCATCCTCGTTTCTTGCGCTGCCGTGCGAGAGAGTTTGAGGTCGAGGTTACCCGTCCGTCTTTCTCTTCTCTTCTCGTGTGCGCGCGGATACAGTCCGTTGCGCGGCGTGTCTCGCGGCGTTCGAGGAACGTTCCTCAGGGACGAACGGGCGGCGGAAACGACGCGCGCACTCGTTCAAAGCGGCTTCCCAGCTGCGAGAGACAAGGAGGGCTCGCCTCGTGGAGAGAGAATTCGAGAAACGCGGCGATGCGTCTGCTCCGCCACTGCTGCTGCTGCTGCTGCTGCTGCTGCCGCCGTCGTTCCTCTTCTCCTCTCCACCTCCGCGCTCTCTTCACTTCGTTCCTCCTTCTACTGCTCTTCTATCCGCGCTCTTTCCGCAGAAAAACACAGCGGGGCGCCACGGGACGCTGAGATATCGTCCTCCTCGTCTCGCCTCTTATCTCCTTTATGCCGCTTCGCACGTGTGTCGAAAACGCGTGTGTCAGCAGCAGCGCACCGTCGCTGCGCGGCACAACAAACAACGACGACGACGACGCGACGACGAGCACGACGACGGCGACGACGACCGCAACGAGGCGCCGCGCCGCTCGCGCGAGCCTTCCAGAAGGGTCTATCTCGTCGCAGAATGTCTCGCGGCCGGCGGCCTCGCCGCTCTTCTCATCCTCCTCGGCTGCCGCAGCGCGAACCTCCTCCTTGCGAACGCTGGACACACGCAAGTACGTCGCGGCGGCGGAACGTCCCGCCGCGCGTCTCGTCTCCCGACCCCCTTCCTCCTCCTCCTCGCCCTTTCCCCCGACGACTCCGCGCTCGCGGCGAGAGCGCATATATGTATGCGTGTACTTGTGTCTTTCTCTCCTCTGTCTCGTCCTCGCTCTCGCTCACACTCTTTCTCTCTCCCTCCCTCTCTCTTTCGCTCGACTTATCTAGCGCACACTCTTGCTCTCTCGCTCTCTCTCTCGTTTCTCTCACAATCTCACCGCAGCGCGTTTCTAACCCTCTTCCGTCTCCCTTTATCTTCTTCGCCGCACACAGCACACCGCGAGCGATTCGTACGAATTCCTACTCCCTCTCTCCCTCTCTCTCTTTCGTGTATTGCGTATGATACGGGCAAGTATATACACGGAGCTGCGCACCGCGGAGAGAGACGAAGAAGGAGATAGAGACGGCCCGAGCGGCAGCGGCAGCGGCAGCGGCGGCGGCGGCGACGGCGGCGGCGGCGGCAGCAACGACGACGATGACGACGACAACGCAACGACGACGACGACGGACGGAGAGCGCGCGCGCGCGCGCTGTCCGCTCACGTCCGTGTTTGTGTTCGCGCGCGCGCGTATCTGTGTACTTCTCGATTAGCGACCCGACGTGCGTGACGTCACAGCGCGACGTTACATCGCTTCTCGCGATTGTCACTCGAGATCGGCCGGCGGTCGAACGATGCTCGGCGATGACGCGGAGGGAAACGCCGCGAGACCGAGCGAACGGGCGTGGACGAACCGTGGCGGCCGCCGAAGAGACACGAACTCCAACTCCGATAGCCGTGAAGCGAAGGAGAGCGCGCGCGGCGAACGCTCTGTCTGTCTGTCTGTCTGTCTGTCTGTCTGTCTGTCTGTCTGTCTGTCTGTCTATCTATCTATCTCTCTCACTCTCACTCACTCACTCAATCACTCTCTCTCTTTCTCTCTCTCTCTCTCTCTCTCTCTCGATACCTACGCGACCGAACACCGCGGGCGAACTCGTCGCAACGGCGATTATCACGACGAGGTCGTTTCGTCGGGCACTGCGCGACCACACGGCACGAACCGCACGGCGACCACCACCACACACTAGCACGCGCAAACCACCCGCGGTTGATACCACTCGTCAAACAACTGACGACTCTCCGCTGTGCAACGACTGGCGCGGAGAAGCGAACGCAACGAGGAGGTGGTCGCCCGATAGGTGGCAGCGCTGTTTATCGCGACTGGGGCTCCGGCGGCCGACGCCGCCGTGCGTCGCGTACCGCAACTCATCGAGCATTGCCGGAGACAGCCGAGCGCGGCCGAAGCGCTGCGAGCGCGACCGATTCAATATCAAGTGCACGACCCTCCGGTGCGCGGACGGACCGACGAACGGATGGACGGACGGAATGACGGCCGCGTGAAGTTTAACGGGAGGGAGAGAGAGAGAGAGAGAGAGAGAGGGACGAGCGTCGCGTCGCGTCGTGGCGCGGCGCGGCGGAAACGGCCGACGAATTTTCGGCGCGTTGAATTTACTCGCCCTTTCGAGAAATCCCCGAGCGAGTTTTCACTCATTCCGGGAAGACGGTAGACTTTTTATAACTTCGCATTCGTACATCCGCGGAGTAATTTTTGGCAAATCGTTAGAGATTCACGACTTTCCCCGGCTTCAAATTTTCTTTGCGACAAGTTGGACAAGTTTTTCTGTTCGCTCGGTGCTGAAATATTGGGACATGCGTCGAAATCACGTCATCGCTGTAAAATTCAGAAGCTCGGCGAACCTCGCAACACGGGAAAAGTAAAGAAGCATATGTGTGTCTGTGAAAAGTTTAAGTCACTTGGATGACATCTTCTGCTGGAATTCTAAAGAAAATGCATTTATTCTCGTTGTGATAATCATCTTATATATTCTTTGTACATTTTATCGCAATGTCCGCGCGTTTCTTTCTCGAGACAATTATAGTTCTAATATATTACCCTGCTGTGTATCTTTCACGCCTACCGCACATACTTTTGTTTACCTTTTTGTTTACCTTTGGAATGCAAAGTACATTAGAATTAAATGATCATAAAGGATCGGAATACTTTATACTGTCGTAAATCAGACAAAAAGAATTTCTGGAAAATTTGGAAAACAAAGGAACAGGACAGTATCTAGACAGCACACGACGTCCTGAGATCGTCCTAACATCCTCAGGACATCCCAAAACACTTGTTCACGCATCACAAATATATCTTAGACGATTAGAACATATCGCGCTAGGAAACAAAATCTTTATTATACAGTCATTAAAGAGTACTTAAAGCAATATAAGTAACACAAGCGTCCGTCGCAACAATTGCCAACTGTTGCTCACGCCGAGGATACAACCGAAGAAATTCGTCTACAATACATATATTTGCGTCCACGTGACATTCGAGGGATTTTATCCGCCAGCAGACCGGCTAAATTTGCAATGCTTCGTGTCCGCAGATCTTAATCTGCGTCACACCGATTACGAGGACGACAAGGACAAGGACACACGGTAGCACTCAGTCTTGCTCCTCCTCCGGCTCCTCTTTCTTCGTGTACGACGCGATGAGCGGCAACAGCTCCGCGCAATTTTGCCTGGCCAATTCCTCGACGCTGCAGCCGAAGTTGTCGGAGACGGTGAGGTCGGTGCGCGGTATCAGGAGCTTGCAAACGGCCGGCGCGCGGCCGACGAGCGCGCGGTGCAGGGCATTATTGCCGTCCGCGTCCGTGAGATTCGCGTCCGCTCCGTGGCGCAGCAGCAGCTCGACGACGTCGGCGCGGCCACGCGTGGCCGCGCGGTGCAGCGCGGTCGCGCGGCCGCAGCGGGTGCGCGCGTTCACGTCTGCGTCGTGGCGCAGCAGCATTTCGCACACCCGCGGGTGCGCGTTCCGCGCGGCGTAATGCAGCGGCCTGTAGCCGGCCGAGTCCTCCCCGTTGACAGGCGCGCCGTTTCGCAGCAGCTTCTCCACGCGCTCCTGGTCGTCGCTCAGCGCTGAAAACGCATCGAAACGCTGTTCAGTCGCTCGGCCGCGCGAATTGTGCGGGAAATTACGTGGCGGAGAGCCATTTTCGAGACTATTTTTACGAATTTTTTTTACCAGAAAACGGTAAGATCAATGGACTTGAAATTTGCACATTTGTATTCATTAATGTTCAGAGTATAAAATAAATTTTATTGAGTCACAATAACCTCGATTCAATTTGTAATTATAGATAAAAATGCAGTTATCCGTTTGCGAGCTCTATGTTTGCTGTCGACATAATTCCGAGCCTCTCACTACTCTGAAACGAAAAAATGAGAAAGATTTTTAAGATATGCAATTGCCATTATAGCCATTGTACCAAAATGAAGACAGTGAAGCCAAGTTTGGAAAAATAATGACTGTACAAAAAAAGTATCAGAAATGAAATTTTTTTCAACTTGTAATCATGTTTAAAAAGATGAATAAAATAAAATATAAATGTGTTCGGGGTAGGGGCCAAAAAACTATATGTCTACTGTATATTGTATAAAAATTTAAAGTTATTCGATTCAGTAGTTTTTGCATAATCGTGTCGAGAGTTTAAGAAAATGGTGTTTCCAGATTAACGCGTTTAAAGTTTTATGCGTACTTTCCATATAGATAGTAACAAATTTATTTCATACTTTGAACATTAATGAATACACTGTGAAAATTTCAAGTCCATTGATCCTACTGCTTGTATTAAGAAAATTCATAGAAATAGCCTTGAAAACGGCTTGCTCCGCATATAATTCTCTCCTTATATCATTCCTTTTTTTTTATCGTGTTTGGTTGATTTATGATATATTAGGAGTACCGGAAAGTCATTTTTCATATTTTAAAGCCTTAAATTTCCGTGATTATAGTACAGGTTCTTAATTTTAATCCAGAGTTAATTTAAATATCAGATTAGTTAGCAACATTTTTCTATTGTATATATAAACTTTCATTAAGATCGAACTTACTCTTGGAAAATGGCAGCGTTTGAATCAAGTGAAGAACACGGAAAAACGAAAGGACTTTTCACTACCCCTAATATATTATATGCAATTTTATTTCGTATATTATTTTTATCACAAATTGTTGGAATAAAAAATATTCCTGCGAGCATATCCTCATTCGAGGAATGCGTACAACGTTATCTCAATTTATTCCTTTTATTGTAAAACATGATGTGAGAAACACGCGAGAAAAATATATATCAGAGTACAAAACGCGCCTCATTCGAGCAATTACGTTTATGAATAGAGCGATCAAGTTTCTGCGGATTAAATCCGCGGCTTGTATCGCCGGATGCGGTGGTGCAGGGTGCCTCCCGAAAGGTCTCGGTCGATCTCGCCGAAATCACGCAAAGCAAGTCTTATCGGAAAATCGACGTGGAAAGTGGAGATACAGCGTCTTTCATAGTGAAATTAGAAATCGACGTTTCTCCGACGGGTGTTCGTCGAGAAAGCATCGTTTCGCGCAATTCCCCAAATTCCTACGTTCGTCATCGTGGCAATCGAGCCGTTGATTGAAGTTTTACCGGCGCACGGTCCGCTTCAAATCGAACGAGGCCGATCACGTACACGACTACTTATTCTGGTCTCCGAAATCGCACACATTCGTGTTCGCGCCCGGTCGTTGGCAGTACCTCTGCTTGCGGATCTTCATAATTTAACATTCTCTGCATGTTTCAGGGTAGATCTACGTTGCACGAACGACGGACGGTATCAGTTTTATTTACCTGCGTACCAGATACCACGCTCGAACTCCATCTCGTTTAATGTCTGTCGGACGCTGGGATTGCTGTCCGCGACGCAACACGCATCGTGATCGTGAGCTTCGTGAGAGTGCGCCATTGTTTATCGCATCTGCAAATAATCGTTCTTACAGTCTCTCCGAGAAATTCACCAAGCGAGGGAGAGAGAAAGAGAAAGAGAGAAAGAGAGACGAGATGATCTCTGTCGTATAAATAAAAGCATTTCACATTTGACGACGTGGGGCGCACTTTCTTCGCAGTGTTTATTTCTCTCCTACGTTTCTACATGATGATAATAATGATGTAGTCGGCTTTACAACATCCAGTTAAACGCTATACACATTGCAGCTATTGTAGATACAAAATACATGCTTCTCGTGTAGTAACAAATTTATAGAAATATACAATTCGCCGCATACCAAGACATATACGCGCAAATTTTCCGACACGAGCAAAAGTTACACACTTGATCAGTAGATAACTTTTCTCAAACTACAGTAACCAAGTAATCTCTCGTCGCGTCGTCAAATACACCTCTCGACTTGACGTTCGCTTCTTCGCTTACAATCATACAGACCGACCGACGCGTGAACGCTGCACTACAAGATAACAAATCTCTCTTAATCGTGATTTCACTCGAAATTTCATTCATCATAAATTCGCCGTTTGGCCATTTGGCCGGTAATAAGAAAAATCGATCGTAATATCTCCTCCAAATTATGCTTTGCTACTTGCGACAATAATAATACTTGATAGGAATACGAGTAAACATCACAAAAAACACCATATCAAAGAACAGTTTAATATATTAAAACTCTCTGAGCCTCAATCCGGAGGAACAATATTTCACATGATAACGACATGATAAATACAATGGACTATCCGTAGAAGCGAGCGGTACCGTGTAATAGAACGCCTGTATAAACGCTACATACTACATCACTACTTCAGTATACTATCGCAACTCACTGACATAGTGAGGCCACTACATCATAATTAGTGCTTGAGTGCACGAAAAACTAACGTCCGCTGCAAAAGAATAATACTGATGTAAGCTGGATTCGATACGGATGACCTTGGACAAGCTGGAATCAAAATTCGATCAAAAATGAAGCTGGACACTTTCGGCGTAAATTTTCGATCGGATCGTGTCCTATGAGAAGCTTGCAAAATCCCATCTCGCGTGCAACAAAGTAAAGATATCAATAAATTATTGCATAATTACTGCTCGCCCGTTATTACATCGCTATTGGTAACGCACGAATTCGCTCCACTAGCGGCCAATTTTCTGCATCGTAAAGAGGCGAATTAATGTTTGCAACGCGATTATTTTGCTCGCTGCAGAGGTATTCTCGCGATTCAATATCCGAAATTACAGCCGGACAGTCTTATCATGATTAGATTAGGTTGATTAGGTTGCAAAAATAATTGCGGTTTTTATCATTTTAAGCTTAGCGCCGATTTTTCTAGTTATCCCATTATCTTTTCCAGAATTCTATCTTGTAGGAACAAACAAACTTGTTTCCCGTTGGGAGAAATGTGTGTAGGCCAGTGGTCTTCATTTTAATCAATAAATATCATTTTCAACTGATACATGCGTCTTTATTTACTCAACACGCAAAACTGCAATTATTTTTGCACCAATTTAATAGAATTTCATCGGATTATTATTAGCGTATTATGAGAAATAAGAGAAAATTCCATCAGATACGCACGTACGCTCGCGAGATGAAAAAGAACGTTCGTGCGATTGTTTACGCAGTCAAGCGTAAACGTGCAAGTCTACCTCTTCAGCGGGAAATTTTGCTGATACGCGTAAGCGCGATCGATCATCTCGTAGAAAGCAAATCGACGTTCGACAATCCGCGCGTACACGCACTTCGTATCCTCATCATCAAGCTGCAAAATCGGCTGTGAACGTAATTCGGGGGATACGTGAACTACAACATTCCAAAATCGAGAATAAACGAAGTCTTAGCGGCAACATGGCGGGTGAATGTTGATTCGTTGCTCCTAAGTGCTACGGTTCGACATGTAAATAAACGCATACAAGTGACGTTGTGAGTACACACACACACACAAGTGCGTCCAGCGTTATGCGGTACACTTGTAGTAAGGCCCATTCTTATAGCATTAATTTTCTCGCTGCATCGTCCAAAGAACCTCGCTCTCGCCGGTACTACAAACAATCCGATAGCCGAGCTCGGCCAGAGCGTTTATCACGGAGAACGGTGATCCTGAAAGCAATTTCGCAACGCATGAGTCCCTGCGAAGACATCATAGACGGATTTAACGTTTTATTTCGGCGCCTTTGCCCAGTGACACTTGGCAGAAGCAACGGTATCGGGACGTATCCCCGAGGAAGATCTCCTCGGGGTCTCGTCTCTGGGTCGAAGATAAATTTGGAGGGGATTATTAACCTTTGAACAAAATTCCGTTTATGACATCCGAGCTTTCGGGGGCCAGCGGAAAGCGGGCACGTAAGGCTGACTGCTCGTTTGACATCAGACCGAACACCGCACAATCGGTCGCGTACGGTGAAGCTCTCACACCGACGTAATAGAAAGTGTCGTCGTCGTCGTCGTCGACGACGATCTCCACCTTTTTGGGCTTGACGTTGGGTTTGGGGTTGGGGTTGGGGTTGGGCGTTGTCTTTGCCATTGCCGCGCTAAAAGTATCGTTATACCTCGTTGCGTTTTACTTCTAGAAGAAAAGCAGACGTGGACGTGTATGAGTGTGAGTGCGATCGAGCCGCTTGTCCTGAGAGAGTGGCGTGAGTCAACTTGAGCGCGACCCGAGAAATTTTTCGGAGAAGCTCCACGATAACGTGCGCTCGCGAGATAACTTTAACATGCCGTGCAAGATACTCGCTCGAGATATTCCTCGTTCGGCTCGTTCTATCATCAGATACATGCAACATTCAGCCAAGATAAAATCCACCGCTTGAACTCTCGTTATGAACAGCTCATTCGGAGTTGCTGATAAAGACACACGCGCAGCTTGAAAATCCTTACACTTTGATGGAAGAAAGGAAAACTCATCGAAAAGAGCTCGGTAAAGTAAAGTTTGCAGAGCGCCCTGTTCCAATCTTGCTTCACCACGGTGTACAAAATTATCCTGGATGCGTCAGTTCGACGTCTTCAACGTAAGATATCTATCTCGAGAAAAGTTGCTCCAAAGAGATTTGACTGAAGCCACTCTCAAGACAAATGGCGTATTTCTTTCCAGCAGATGAAACATTGTTCAAGCTGATGCGCGCGCGCGCGCGCGCGCGCTGACACGACATATTTCACCAGCGATAGAAAACAATTAGGAAGAAACGATAATGCGAAATGCCGTAGCGTTGTTTGTATGTCGAGGTAGAAAAATTCCGAGCAGAAGAAATTGGAATTTTTAATTAGCTTTGGTTACAACTGTTTTCTCTACCAATTTGTTGTTGATTAATGCATTTACATATCGAAGATATCTTGGTGTGGTTTTAGAGTAATGCTTTCTACAAAGAAACTATACAAATAATGAATCTTTCTATTGGAATGGTGATTAGTACGTATACACAGGCACATGTAGTTTATGTAGAACTGATAACATTGAGATTACGAGTTCTCAATAAACCCACATATTTCCCAATGATGTATGAAATTCTGAGTGACAAAGTATTGTTACTACGGCTAAATACTTGCAATATTCAGCGATAATCTCGCCCATATATTTAGCGATATTCTGTAAATAGATTATGAAGTATCTAACTAGAAATCGTTAATATTCAGCGGGTATGCAGCTTGACGTGCTCTCTTTCTCACGCAATTTCACTAATTAATTTCATTAATTCACACGTGCAATGCCACGTGCAATTGTTCTAAGCTGTAATTATCTGACGTAAAAGTGCGCGGATGTGTAAGAGTCCATCGATATAATTCTCTAAAACAACTGCAAACACTCCAATTTGCAGGATTGTGTCACAAGTCAACATGTGCGCGACAAATATGCTTCGCGTGGGCTTTTCTATAATGAAATAATGCCGTACAGATAGTTTTAGCATATTCATGGAAGGTGCCGAAAATTCTAAAGAAAAGTATATTTAACGTGACTGCGTCACTTGTGCTTGTAGCTAATTACGTACGTTTAAAGAGCCGATTACGAGAAATCACAAAAACGCGAACGCTTAATAATCATCGACCTTACATTTATTTCTTCATATAGCCAAAGATACCTAAAAACAAAGATACGCACATTTAAAGTATATAATGTGAGAATATATTCCGCTAAAAAAAAAAAGAAAGAAAAAACTTATTCATGCTAGTGTTCTTCTCTTGACCTTGCAAATATAATAACACATCGTTGGCCTTGTGTGTCTCTTATAATTCTCTCATTATACATTTATAAGGGAAACAAAAGTGTATCTAACATCTACGTGTAGTGTTCTGTGTTAACATAAAAGTGCGCGCATTTATTCAAAATTTACTTGGAATTTCACACACACATCAGGAATATAAATGAGTTCATTGAAACGTTGTTTGTATATTGTGCACCTGTTATCAATCACCACGTGGAGCAGAAAACAAGTTGTTACACATACGCGTATATAAAATATAACAAAATATAACGGCTTCATCTTTTCAACAGCGGCAGTTATTTTCGATGCGAACAATATCATAAAATGTTTTTATTACGGACATACGGCAATAAATACGTTTCAAGTGCATTAACATTTCAATGCATTTAAATTGTTCTGTTGAAATTCGTGAAAACAAAGTAACGACAAAACATACGATAATATTGTATTCTAATCATTTTTTTTATAATTATACATTTGCCGTTCTCGCATGGCTCTCTTTTCCAGGATAAATTCTTCTCACGCCTTTCCCCTTCTTTCGATATTTTATATTAACTGTGACGCGTCACATGATGTAACAACTTATCTTTGTCTAAATATTAGATTCACATTAAGCTGCTTGATTAGATTATTTTCATCTCCAAAGTATTAGAATATATGTGCGTGATAGATGCTGACAGTGCTTCTGTTAGCTTTACATTAATTTTGAACCGTACCAGCTTTCATAACGGGATCAGGTTCTGGCTCTGAAAATTCTTTTCTCATGGTCCACATATATTCATTATAATCCTGTTTTACGCTAGTGCTGGAAGACGCGACGACTTTATAACCGAGCACCTCTAAAGCAGTCAATATTACACAAGGATGTTGCAAATATACTATCGTCGAATCGTCGCAATATCCTCCAGAGGAGAAACGACTCAGCTGTTCTATATCAGTCGCTATAACATAATTAATTAACATTACTTGCACCTCAATCTCAATTCGTTACTGTACTTACGTCTGTGTGTACAACCCCATCTCTAATAATTCTCAAAATATATCAACCTACTTGAGCTCTTTCTGTGTTGTATTTAATATCATACATAAAAGGATTGTTAAAGAAACATGTTTCAAACAACTTTTACAAATATCTATAAATTGCTAAATATACTGTTTCACTATCATATATATTAAGAAATAAAAGCATGTACGTGAGGACAACATAGATCGTACCTTTAAGCCCTGATACTAGAACTCTCCAAGGATATTTATGACCATATGATGCTAGATTACCACGTACTAGAATATATGGCATCTGTAATAGTTGGCTAAAACAATCTGCAATATATGACACACTCTATAGATACGTATGACATGTATTTAAATAGTGTATGTCTGTATACAGTATCATTTATATTTTGATTAACAAGCTAAACAAGAAGCTTAGCTGTTTTTCTTAATATGACAAAAATTATTATTAGTGTTTTAAATTCGAAATTAAATGTTGTAAACGTTTAGAGGTCCTGAGAGTTCTCAGAAATCATCCAGTCACTCGTAGACATTTTTCAACTCATCACAAAACTGAAGCAACCATATTTGTCAACATCATACAACATTACACGAAAACAAAATGGAAACACAATCTTACATAAAGATACAGCATGCTCCTTTTATAGAATTTCGTAATTAACATAAGTAGATAAATAGACTACATTATATTCCCGTATAACCTATAAGCATGATATTTGATTAGTGTAGAAACCTTTCAGGCTAAGTTTGTCCAAATCCAAGTGATTAATACAAGTGAATACTTGTGAAGCTCCGAAACCTATCCTAACGTATTCTTATTTCACGACAGTGATTAAAACCAGCAAAATAGGACGAGTTGTGAGGCGAGATACGTGCACCGAATATACATTTCATTTCATTGATATTCGAGATAAAGGGCACGATGATGAAATTTCAAGGTGCCAAACCTTGAAATTTCATCATCTTGATAAAGAATCAACGGCTCATAATTCATTTCGATATTTACATCATGCAAATTTCCTCAACGTTATTGAGTATGTTAATAATTCTTACCTAAGCACAATTATACGACCCGCGGTGTTATAGCGTAAAGAAAAACAGCTATATATATATGATATCGAGAGATTATCGCGATCCACTGTACTCCTTCGATGAAATCTTTTATCCAAATGGGCAGGATGACTCCAACTGCGTTCCGAAATTCACTGCCAGTACTGGAAATACACAGTTTGTGTCACGTATACTGTAGAATTTCACCACTGGCAGTGAATATCAGAACGTAGCCTATTGGTCTATTCTTTGTAGCTGCACTGCTGAACTGGTGCAATAAGTTAGAATGAGAAGACCTATATTTGTCTCACTTTAACTTATTGCACCAGTTCAACAGTGCAGCTACAAAGAACAGACCATATGTCACTCCTACTGTCTCAATATTCGAACTCTCAAAGAAATTGAATTTTTCCACACGTAAGTGACAAGGAATTTCAACAAGTACGCAACATATTTCTAGTGCAGGAGGATATGTAAGCTGTGGGTCTGTTCTTTATAGCTGCACTGCTGAACTAGAGCAATAAGTTAAAATGAGACAACTATATTTTTTCTCATTCTAACTTATTGTACTAGTTCAACAGTGCAGCTATAAAAAAACAGACCCTGTGTTCCGATATTCACTGCCAGTACTGAAAATATTGACATAGCGTATGCCACGTATATTATAGATTTTCAATGCTGGCAGTAGGTCTGTTTTTTATCGCTGAACTAGTGTACACTCAGGGAACATAAAAAGAAATAGATATACATCTAGGAGTTAGTGAAAAGGAGAGAAGAAGAGAATAAGTGCAAGTTAGTGCAGCTAGTTCAGCAATAAAAAACAAACCTAGTGAATATCAGAACGCAGCTAATTAGTCTGTTCTTTTTAGCTATACTTTGGAACTAGTGCAATAAATTAGAATGAGACAACTATATTTTTTCTCACTTTAACTTATTGCACCAGTTCAGTGTAGCTAAACAGAACAAACCAACAGAGTAATACCTCGTCTACAATAGAAGTCATAGAATCGTAAGTCGTACAAATTGACCAATCTTGGTCGATTATTTTTCTCTTATCGGACTATGATTGGTCAATTTCTACGGTTTACGGTTCTACAACTTCTATTGTAGACGAGATATAAATGTATCGCATACATATTGATTTGGTGCAAGCGGAGCAGCTTCAGTACTGTCATGGCTGTGTTCCAAAATTCACTGCCAGTACTGAAAATACATAGTTTGTGTCACGTATATTATAGATTTTTAATGCTGGCAGTGAATATTGGAACACAGCCCAGAGAGGAACCTGAGAGAGCGGCCAACACAGCGTTTTCGGCGACACCGACTTCCGCATTGGGATAGGGCGCCATCTGCATCCATTTTGAGAGAGAAACTACGATGCTACATCCACTTTCAGGTCTCGGCAGTAAAACCTGTATGTGGTGGCAGTCTGTGCTACATCGACTTTCAGGCGGTTTATGTCTGTGTTACAACCATAATAGCGTACTTGACAAGCAAGGTCTCGAACATTGTTATGCGTTTGTAAAGCCAGCGGCACACGGTGCTTGTTTTCGTGCTGGATTGCTTGCTGGATGAAAATATTGCGTCCTGATTGGTGCATTTCCGAAGATCGAGCGGAGGGCGTGGTCTCAGAGGAAGTGTCATCGACGAAACGTGCAATGCTTGCGATTCCCGTGTGTTGTATGCAATACGTGCATTTTCTTAAAAAATGAAAAAAATTTATTGTGATACACGTATGTTGTATGCAACACGTGCATTTTCCTAAAAAACGAAAAAAAAATGATTGGCGAAATAGGACAACGCTGACCGCCAAGGAGATGCGAACCACCGAGCTTAACCCCGCGAGTCCAGCATACTTCCACCAAGCCACACGCTCTTTGAGAATCTCGCTCCTTCATTTGGTTCATGGAGCACTCGCGATTTTCAATCGCGACTTTCTTGCAAACGCTTCAATGCTACGCCGTATCTTTAAGTGCAATGTTAATTTGTCATGCAAATCTATCGACACAACGAGTTTAGTCAAAATCGATTGCTATTGATCATCTCGTTGGATTCACGCCGAGAGTGAAACGTCAGTCTCGGCCGTGTGTCGGGAAGCACAATCTCGGCAACGTTGCGAATCAGAGCGAGATGGAGAGAACACATTCCCTCTCTCTCTTTCTTTCGCTTGGCTCGTCAAAACAAGCCGAGCGGTGGGCGGGACTTCAGACGGATAGACGGGAGCAGTTTCTCTATGTGTGTGTGCCGACTACATTCTTACATAGAAGCGTACGGCAATTGAAAATGTTTAAGCATATACCCTGAGATTCTATCTGTCGCGTATGACACGTGTGTGTGTATGTGTGTGTGTGAGTGCGTATATGCACACGTACGTCACGCACACTTTCAATGCAACACATGCACACGGACACAACTGAGCTAGAAAACGCCTGCCGGAGTATAAATAAATACTAACGTAACGCTGAAATATTTTGGAAAAATAATTTTGGGTACATACAAAATATTATCTTATTATCATATATTTATATATCGATATAAATCGTATATAATCTTCATAATATTAATCATATACAATCTCAATTCTTATTTTTTTTGTGCATGTTAACATGTTAATTCATGTTACAAATGCATAACAATGCGCGAGACCGTGCTTGTCAAGTACGCTATTATGGTTGTAGCACGGACATAAACCGCCTGAAAGTGGATGTAGTACGGACAGCCACCAGATGTAGGTTTTACCGTCGAGACCTAAAAGTGGATGTAGCATCGTAGTTCCCCTCTCAAAATGGATGCAAATAGCGCCCATTCCCAGTGCGAAAAATCGGTGTCGCCGAAAACGCCGTGTTGGCCGCTCTCAGCTTCCTCTCTGCTACAGCACATAAAGTGCACTTGTTTTCATTGTTGGCAACCTAGTGACGAATAATAAATCTTTAGTGATTTACTAGACAGCAGACCCCTTGTATGTGCGCGATTAGCACGGAACGAGCGCATAGAGAAACCAGCCACACGGACCTGAAATAAAATACGTTACATTGTTTGTCATCGCGTATCAAACGCAATTAATTACAATTTCTTGCGTTTCGTCCGAATACACGAATACTCGCTTAAGTAGGCCACTTTGAGCGAATATTCCGTCTCCGACTCAAGTATTTCATCCGACCCGTACTTCAGGCGGCTGACGTCGAGCAGCGCCTGACGTGCGAAGTTAGCTTCTCTTCAGTTGAGCGTTAACGAGAGCGAAGTTAGCGGCAGTGCGCGGCCGAGGCGAGACGCACGTACAAGCGAACGGATAAGGACGTAGCGTTGCAGCAGGCCAGCGGGTGACAGGTGGTTTGACGTTTTACCAGCCGCCATCGTCATTAACGCGACTACGACCTGCCATATTGTGCGTGACACATACGAGGGGGAAAGGTTGCCGCGTCTGAAAGCGAACAGCAGTCCGACACGATAGCCGTCGTCGAAGCGACTCGCCGCCGTGCGATTCGATGGCCGAGTGAGTCGTCCTGTGGAACAACCTCGTCGTGTACCACCAAGCACGGCCATTCGTCTCGATTTCTGTTCAGCGGCTGATAGCAGCTTTCCTTTACGCTGCGCCGATTCATAAGCGTGAGTATACGGTCATCGCTTCCTCCGTCGCATTGTTGACATCAGATTGTACTATCGCTATCGTGCGATTCGACGTGACGAACGCTGTGAGACCTCCGTGTCTTTTTTCTTTTTGTTCTTTATTTTTCCCCTCTTTGTTTCTGTCTCTCTCCTGCTCTTCGCTCATGAGATCTTTCCTCCGTCCTTTCTCGCCTGCGATTTACGATTTCCTCCGTCGCGCACATCGTGAAAACTGCGCTAATTGAATGTAACGTAATTATGGGAGTGGGCAGTTCTGGCTCTATTGTGTCGAGAGTAGCTTAATTTTCGAGGGACTCGCGCGTTCGTCGGGCACACGGTAGTAATTCTATCGCGATACACATGTTTCTCGTTTCGTCCTGTGTCAGATTAGCGTAATCTGTCTCAAGTTCGCTCCTGTTGGAAAACGATATCTTGGTAGTGCCAGATTTGAACGTCGGTATCACAAAGAAAATCTCTTTAGACTTTTTTCATGAATTATTCATAGATTTGCGGACGCTGTTTTCCTGCTGCGAAAGAATGATTTATTAATTGCGAGACAATAGCTGTTTTTCGCGAAAATAGATAAGTTAGTCTTACCTAGAGTTTTCATTGTAACATACATTGTGATACACAATGACTTGGTTGTGAATATTATTTTTAAGTAGCTTTCGGTATTTTATAAATCTACGTTGCACACTTTATATATAATATGTCAGTAAGTTCTACTTTGTAAAAGCGTAAAATTTAATAAAACTACTCATTTTCTCTGCAGGAGGCATATTTATCGCTATTACAAGTGTGTAGTATATGTAATTTATGCCATACTTTCCTCTTAAAAATCGTATGCATATCTAGATTTGCCATGAATTAAACTTGAAAACAATTTTTTTGTCCTTGACCAGGACAAATTACAATACACATAGCACAATTACAATAGTAAACATTATGTCTATTATTGACATCATTTTGAAAGGTTATCTAACATAGTGCATACTTATGAGGTGTATCTTTATCTGATATTGAATGAGACAAAGAATACAGTGTGCTTTCTGTCAAATGGGATTAGCAAAATTAATCTCAGATATCCCAAGTCAACAATGAAACATACAACGTGATACATAAAATGTTCTCTATAGACAACAGACAACTTTATCATTCCTGTCAAATTATCAATAATAGACTATAAATGTAGTTTCCTTTGAAAATTTTGTTTATAGGTGCAATATGTCGACCGGTCCATATAATTACTCCTATATTTTCAAATATATCATCATAGGAGATATGGGTGTAGGCAAATCTTGCCTACTTCATCAGTTTACAGAAAAGAAATGTAAGTAATAAATAATACATGATAATAAATATAAATACTGTTAAATGTTTACATACAATTATACCAAAATTTTGAATGAGATTTTTATAGAAAATTGATGTTGTTTAGTGATGCATCACTATTTTCCATGACATACTTTTAAAGAATGTGTAGTCATCTAATTGCATGACACATACATCGTGCTACATGTACTACATATGACAGGTTTTTAATGGCGTCAGTTGCTAGTTGACTTTTATGTTCATATTAAACTTTTTTAAAATTATAAAAATATTAAATAAAAAAGATATATGATGAATATTTGCTTAAACAATTACAGAAAAAAGTGAGTTTTTTAACTGTAATGTGTCTTGTAATTTTAGTTATGGCAGATTGTCCACATACCATTGGCGTTGAATTTGGCACTAGGATTATTGAAGTAGCAGGACAGAAGATAAAACTGCAGATATGGGACACTGCTGGGCAAGAACGATTTAGAGCAGTTACCAGGTAATGGCTGTTTTGGGACATTTGAGAGATATATAATCACCGATTGTAAAATTATGCACTGCAAATAAAAATATTTCCTGTCAGATCATATTATCGAGGCGCAGCTGGAGCATTAATGGTGTATGATATCACACGCCGTTCAACTTACAATCATCTCAGTAGCTGGCTGACAGACACAAGAAATTTGACAAATCCAAGCACTGTAAGCACTATACACTGTACACTATACACTTATACACTGTAAAACCATATTGTATGCAATAATATAATCGTAAGCAAAAGATTATTTCTTTAATTGATTTCTTAATAATATAAAATGCAAGAAATTAATCATGTTCCATATATCTTACAGGTTATATTCTTAATTGGTAACAAGAGTGATTTAGAGGGTCAGCGCGATGTTACCTACGAGGAAGCAAAACAATTTGCCGATGAACATGGCTTAATGTTCGTCGAAGCTAGCGCAAAAACGTAAGCACAACTCTATGCGTCGTTTTTATTATATTTAAAGGCAAGGCACAAATCCTTCGTGCAACTGCAAATGACACTGCTTTCTGATTTCTTAAATAGCGGACATAATGTGGAGGAAGCTTTCTTGGAAACTGCAAAGAAAATATTCCAGAGTATACAAGACGGCCGGTGAGTTTGGCAATCAGTTATAATAATGAAACGAGCAAATTGATACAGTTATTTATTCGTGACATACAACAACAAACTCGGTTCTAACTTGAAAGCCAAACACAAACCCAATGTTCTTCCATGTCATGAAAAAAAGAAATCTCAAATGTCATATAATTATATTTTATTGGTTAATCTTTCTCTTGTAGATTGGACTTAAATGCAGCAGAATCCGGCGTTCAACATAATCCCAGTCAACCAGGTCGCACCAGTCTCCAAGGAGTGTCTAATGAACAGCAGGGAGGGAAGGATTCCTGCTCTTGTTAGGTCATTATTTGTTTGTATATAGATATATTAATTGATCGGTACTATTAATGCATATATGATTTATACTAAGTGTAGTAAGCAGATTGTCTCGTAACCTGTATCCTCCCTTTGATAAGTGAAGTCTATTTGAGAGAAACGGAACATACACATTTTTGTTTTCTTTTTAATTAATTAGCATCGTTTTACAGTAATACGATGTTATAAATACACGACACAATGTAGAGACGTACATCGTCGTAAAAGTAATTCCAACAATGCTATCGATTTTTGACGCAGCAAGTATAATAAAACCGATGGAACGGCTTTTTTATGATTATTGCAACTTGCATAATATTTTGTATACTTTATGCATTTTGTTACGAAGCCAAGCAAGGATGGATAATCCGTTTAGTGCGGTGCGTGTGTAAGTGCCGATCGCGCGAACCTTGTTCGAGGCTAGGAACTTCCCGTAAAAATTGCTTAAAATCGAATACAAGCGATAAGGCTTATATTCAGCTGATTCGTAGCCGATTCATGGGAGGATTACATATTTGTTAGTTATGTGATACGCAAATTCTTGCTTTCGGAAACTTAACGAAAATTTTATCAGACACGCAACGAATGTCAATCGCTTTCTTTAAACCGCTTTCTGTTTGCTAAGAATAAAAATGTGCACGCTCATGCGAGCTGATTTTAGTTATTTGCGAGACCGACTATAAACGGAGAGAGAAAAAGTAGGGATCAATTTTCTTTTTTCTTTATATTTAAAAGATATATCTATTCTTGATGAAACGTAAATATACATACATATATATACATATATATATATATATACACATCAAAATGTATTAAACTTGACATGTGTTTTAGTAAGATGCTAAGATAGATGCTATTCGCCTTTCTTCTCGTTGTTTGAAATATTGAAATGTTTGATTTAGCAAGCCTACGTTAGCGCAAATAATTTGTATCGCACTTGAATATCACGCGAATGTAGTGTAGCTTCGAATGTATGTGTTGTCACGCGTTTCACATTTTTTTTACTTGTATGCTCTTTTGATACATTATGTAATTTAGCGTACGTTTCTCAGTTTGAGAGCAAACCGCGCGGAATCTGAAAATTTTCGTTTACTGGGGTATCGTCTGTCACATTGCGGCCTCATGCGGACATTCAAACGTCGGTATACTAATTGGTGCGCTTCTCGCGAAGTTACACAAGCTCTGTCTTGTTATGAATTGATGTGTGGTACAAATATGTGACGTTGACATGTACGAGACGCGCGGAGAAAGAAAGGCAGAAGGCGAGATCTCGCACGGCACACACGCAATGATCTAATGTTCTCGTCAGTGTTATGTGACTTGTGAACGATTTGTATGAGTGGCGTGAAAAGAGCATGCGAAGAATCGCCCGAATCGAAGAATCGGAATCAGAATAATCTGGACCAAAGTTTTAACGAATCTGTTCGGTCTACAACGGGCGGTTGTTTCGGCATATCCTGTGTTAATTTTATGTACTGTATATTCTCGGAGTATTTTCAAAGGAGACACGCGATGCGAAATAGAAATTTAGGATAGTGTTATATGCGCCGTTCTTCGTGTCGTGTAATCACAGTAGCACTTGATGATCTTTTCGCGTAACAGAGGTTCACTTTCTCACGTATCTTTGTTATATTTTTTGTATCTTGTACATACAACGAGTATGAGAGAATGCCAGGGAATAAATATACTTCTACATGGTGCTTCGACGAAAGAGAAGAATGCCACTCTTGTTTTATCACGGCGAGCTTTCTCTTCGCTGTGTGTGTCTGAGCGGTTGATTCGTTAATATAATACACACACACACACACACATGAAAAGCTTTCTTTCGCGTAGTATTATCTCTTGCAGAAATCTCAGTTCCCTCGCGATAGTTTATTTCGTTGGATTGACATGTGGAGAGAGAGAGAGAGAGAGAGTCGAGTGTTAATATTAACCGAGAGATCTTCCTTCAGTAATTGACAAGCGAAATCAAAACTTCTAAATTTGTAGAGCAATAATTTTTTTTTTTTTTCTTTGCAACTATTGTCAACAGCTTCTGTACTTATTAGTCCGCAGCCCTTTCATTTCGCGGAACAGTGAAAATTATCGGTAACGTTAGAAGCTGTGAAGACAAGTGTGATAATTTCATTGCGATAAGGTTCGTGTGATTGGAATTGTTACATCTCCGTTCGTGTAAGCGACACTGTGACTTGTGCAGCACAATTTACTTGTATACTGTAAGCATTGCAACAAATAACAAATAAAACTTGTATAATAAAGGATTAAATTCTACATGTAAATTTATATATCTAGAGCGGAGCGACGCTGTGCTTTTATTGAGGATCTTTACGTCTGATGATAATTGTCTTTTGTAATTTATCAAGCGGCGCAGTAGTGCCGTGAACACCCGGTGTGTGAAGAAGAAATTGTTAAATTGATAACATGTTAAATGCGATCGTGTTCGCGGTGGAAAAACCACGGTACTACCGATAACTTGTTATAGAATTTCGAAACTCTGTGGGGTTGAAATATTTCACAAATTAAAGCTATGGTAAAAAAATGTAACAATATTTTTATGGTATAATGGTGTGAGCTTTCTCGATTGCGACCATTTCTATGAAAGTCTGTGCAGCCTGCACCGTGCATGTAACATTGCGCACATGCATATAATTGTTGATATAAATATCAATTGCTAATTTTGACCCAGTTCCTCGTTAATCTAAGAACGTTCCGCGTTTTCTTTCCCTTAGCGTTACATAACGCCTCGTTATGCTGATAACAGAATAACATGGCCGTGTTCGCAAGTGCCATAGCCTGCCAAGGATATTACATTTAGATCCCGGGCAACGCGATTATGCAGCGTGTCAACGAAATGTCAGTGTCTACTCTCCGCGCATTCTCGAGGAGCAGTACGGCTCCATTCTTCACGACGAACGACACGTACGCGTCTGCTGGTGAAACATTTTAGAGCATGAATTTACGAGCGATCGCCGTGCTCGTCATCGTGACGTGTGTGTCATGTAGCTTTGCGAAGAAGTGAGGAGATGTAGTTGTCATTATCGCTACACACGATGCTGCAGAGCCACATTTCGGGTTCGCGTCGGGATCTTCGAAAATGAGAAAAAGAATTCGTGTGATCGTGGATCTCTGGAAGGGTTTCTTTTCGAACCGCAAGTGATTAGGAAAGAACAGTCTCTCTCTCTCTCTCGCAGATTAACCTCCACAGTTGAAAGCAGATAAACACTCCTATCGTTCATTCAATTTCGTGCGCGCGGTTTGTTTGACCAAAACTTCAACGTAACTCTAATCGCCGAGATACTTCACGATTCAATGCATCTTATGTGTATATTCATACAATCTGATCTCTCTCTCTCTCTCTCTCTCTCTGACTCGACATTTTTATTGTTAAAATGTTGCTCCACGATGTTCCTCATTCGAATTCCTATACTTCGAATTCGAGTCTTCCGACTCGTCCTCACGATCACACCTTCTCAACGTAACAAGGCCACGAATCGCGCTCATTTAATTCTATTTGGAACATGAATTTACACGTTTTACTCTCATCGTGTGAATTGAATTAGGGACAAAATGATGCTGTTCGACTTCATGAACGCGCAAAACCTAGACGGATGGAGAGAGATGTCTGACACCGTGAGAACCGTGGGAAAGTCCAAGGCCGTGTTAACTCTGCAGACAAGCCAACTCTTTCAGAGAGCCGTCTTCTTCACGTTGCTGAATCCGCAGCCGAACGGCGCCGGCTTCGCCGGTGTCAGAACGCTTACGAATCTCGACTTGTCGAAGTTTAAGAATATCGAGATCAGTTGCCGAGGACAGGGACAAAACAGCAACTACAAAATATCTCTCAGACACAAAGGACAGGATTACAATGTGGATGTCAGCTACGAACAATTCTTCACAGTAAAGAGTTTTGATGTTCTCTTCCCTTTTTTCTCCCTCCCTCTCTCTCTCTCTTTCTCTCTCTCTCTCTCTTGTCAAACGATTATATTTACCTGCAATCTAACGTTATTCTTGTTGATTTGTTTATAATTATTAGAGACAAATTCTGCATTGCGTACCATCACGAAACTCTCATTTCTGAAATTCAGACACTTCGATACGAATGGATTGTAGTATTGCGCGTTTCCGCTGCAGGTGCCGATGTCGGACGAAGAGTTTTTCACGGTGACGTTGCCTCTGAAAGACTTCAAGCCTTATTATCGTGGACGCGAGATGCCGGACAGCGAGCCGCTGGACACGACGAATATCACTATGTTTGAATTCCAAATCTACGGCGGCGTTTACATGCCGACTAAGCAACGTGGTGTGTCGGCATTGGAGATAGAGACCGTAGCAGCGGTCTCTACGTGACCCAAATGAAATGCCTCCTGAGGAGAAGCGACCTTTTATTTCCGATAACGTTGCTAAATGCTATAAGTAGCACAAACACACAAGTGCAACATTCAAACGCATATATTCGGTGCTCCGAGTATTAGATATTAAATATAAGTCCGTTACAACAATTATTAAGATTTAATATTTTAATAAATGCTTATTCATTTCTCGTTGCTTGTACGCAAAAGCGAGCACACGTTTTAACATGTTATACAGTGTTTCTACATATTATTAGGCGATGTAATAATTCCTCATAATGTACGTCGGCCTGAAAACTCTAGGAAAGTTCAGTCGGCATAACCTTTACAAAGTCTTGCCAGGTATAAATGCTCTCCGAGTTTGTAATTGACAGATAAGCTCTTTTTTTTACCACTCGCTTAGGTATGTCTCTTCAAGGCAGTTGTACAGTTTTAGATCTTGATTCATCCTGCAAAAACATAGAACAAAAATGATACTCACTTGTAGTTAGAAGCAAGAAAAGAGAAATGGTAAACTTCTGCTTACGCTTTGAAGGCCTCTCCTATTTCCGCGACTTTGGAGGGATGACACACGACGGTAGTCTTGCATTTCTTCGGATCAAACAGCGGCTTTAGGTACAAGGTCGCTACACGGGTCATGTCCTCCGTAGTGACAGCGGAAATGCGACGTACCATCTGACGATGGTAGTCGTGCGGTATGTTCTTAAAGTAAGACAACAATGAATACGTCACAATGTCTCCTATTGTCTTCTCTTGCTCGATTATCTCGAAGATCATCGACGACTTCGCTGACTCATAAAGCAGCTTATCCCACTTGTCACCGGAGAGATGAGTTTCCTGTAACAGAAAATTCATGATACAAAATATCCCATAGCTTCTGCTTTCTTTGGAAAAACTCGTAGCCAGTAGAAAATAAAGATTGCGGGACACTTTTACTTCGATGAACGTCAGAAAGCACCCAATACCCAATAAAGAAGATTCACCGAGGTGAAAGTGTTGCGCAATCTCGCTTTCACTGACTGCTTACGCTGACTCTGTTGCTTCGCAACTAAAACCTCGTACCACTATTGATTTCGTTTCCTTGTACGCAGCCACAGCATTCGTAGCTCTATAAAATGCCAAGTATAATAGTCCTTCGTTCACTTTCGGATAAATGCTGTATCCGTACGAAAGTCCCTGTCCTCTGATCAATCTCCACATAGGCCCCTGGAATCACATATTCATCAGATGACGACAGACACGATGGCCGAGTCATGAAGCTCGACGACCATCCCGTGCTTACCTCCACTTGAGTTAAATACTGCAAACAGACAGTCAAGGCCGGCAGGTCGGGACTGTGATAGTCAGTTATGCACGGACAAGTCTGACACAAGAACGAAGACTCGATGCATCCCAGTCCTGTGATGCAGCCGCTAATGGCGATGTCATCAGCGGAATTCATCAGCGACCAGTCGGAAGTGACGCTGAGCCTGAAATTGATCATTTACGCTGTTGTAAGAGTATGTCTCATACTTCTGATGTGTACATTTTTATTTTAGAGCCGAATTGCACCATTAATCTGGGTTGACATATCGGATTATGCACGGCGGGTAACAGGAAATTAATCGCTTATCGAACGTGCAGGCAGGTTATATCTACTTGGTTTTTGCTGAAGTTCCCACGTCGGAGAAGAACATATTCCACGGGGCGTAAACGTTTGGAACTTGCACCGTTAACTTCTCTACGTTGACAGCCATATACAGAACCATGTTTTTCGGAGACGTTAAAGTTTTTCTGACCGACTCGATCTCCGCGATAACTTCTCTTTTTCCTGTCTCATCGTTCAGACGTTCCAAGATGTCAGTAAGGAACTTTTGCTGCCGCAACATACTGGATGTGAAGGTATTGCTGTCTGCAAATGTTCCAAAGACATGCAATGTAAAAATGTTACATGCTCTTTTCCACATTATTTTATATATATTGGAAAGCATCGAGATAAATCTTACCTTTATTGTACAGTAATCCTTTCATTAAGTGGCCTGCAATTTTGGATCCGTTTCTTTTTTGTTGAGCTACATCGTTCACCATTTTCGTCGCAATGATTTTCAATCGGTCAACCGTCAATTCGGTATCATACAAGAGTTCTTTGATCCACTGCACACCTTTCTCATACTTTTCCAATTCGAGCTAAATAAATAAAAAAGCAAATATACATGTAAAAATTGAGACTCTTCTTACTTCAATGGCTGCGATTACTCTTTTGCAGAAGAAGAGAATGTATGCGTGAACTTATATTTACCTGAAGCATCAAGTTGACAGTATGGCTATAGGAACCGCACGAAAATCTCAAAGTATTAATAAAACCAATTTGAGTGGCAGTTCCTATAGTATCAGCTTCTAATTCGGCCACTATTTCCTCGTAAGGAATCAGTCGACCATCCCTCTTCACCGGAGATTCCATAATGACTTCCAGCAACAGCGGAATATACTTTCTGTATTCTCTGGTAATAGAGGAAGTGTCCATAAGGACAAACAGCTAAATTCAGATAAATGTAATGATTAATATCACATCAGAGACACGACGGAAGGATAGCAGAGTAATAGAATAAGGTAACACTCACGTAAACGAAGTTTGTATTAACGTGATCCAAGTAAGTGAAGAAAGGCAATTTAGTGACATCCAGTCTAGAATGTTGCTCCGGGGTTTCTGTGGTGTAACTCTTGATATGATGAAAGTTAATAGTGTCCGTGCCGGGTATGGGTACACTTTCCAACAACTCGTCAGGCACCGGTCTCTTCGCAGGGAAACAAGATCAATGGTTACGTTAATATACTGATCGCAAGAATACTTTCAACGTTTGCCGCGATTACACTTGAACGCGTACCTCGTTCTCCTCGATAGCTTTCAGGAGTTCTAGTTCTTTGCGTTCTAAGCCGTCCGTGCCCAACTTCTCTATTTGCTTGGCCGTTCGTTGTTCCTCCTCTTGTGTCAAAGTGCGCTGTTTTTCTATACTAGGTATGCCCTTCACAATGATCATCGGCGTGTCAACGAAATATTTCTTCAAGAGATTTATCCAATACGATTCAGGCTCGTTTTCGAGTTTCTTGAAGTCACGCACGGTATTCAACCTCTGATCGAGCTGTCAACAGAGACGAAACGAATGTAACCGATAATGCAAAGCATATATTTAGTTTGTGAATGAGTGTAACTTACATCTTCTTTTGTATTTCCATACAATACATGCCCAAAGAGCATGTACGCGATCGTGTCATGCGGCTCGTTTTCCAAGGCACTTAAAACTTCAAGGATGCTCCGGTGAATTACAGTTCTCATCCTCTTCATGTCTATACCGTTACCGTCTTTACATATATCGCTGAGTACTTTCATAAGGGGCTCCTTGATCTGGGGAATCTTATCTTTTGGTACATTCTCAAACATGAAGCATAAAGTTGAAATTGAGAAATTGTACTGAATGTAATCCACATTGCTAGCATAAGGACTGTCTCTTTCGACGAATTCTTTCTGCAATGGACTGACAGACGTGTCGGTGAGGTATTTGGCAAATAGAGTGCAGCCGAGACAATCATATAATTCATTAACTCCAGATGGTCCTCGCCAAGCGATATACACCATTCCGTTATCTTCGTCATCGCATGGATAGCAAACATCCAGATTCACACTTTTCACGAGTGGTGCAACTGGAGTTTGCCAAGGCCTCTCGAATGGTCCTCTACTTCCCTAAAATTTTACAACTCGAAGTTAATTGATTGAAAGGATCATATAAATATATAAATCATATGACTTGACTTTGTCAATTCAATACAAAATCTGTAAAATTCTGCAATATATATATATATAAATACCTTTGAAATTATTTTCTTCTCTATGGGTTGCAAAGCCTTGAAAACATCAGCATGTTTCACTTGTCCTACTATTAATACAGTTAAATTCTCTGATCTGTAAAACTCCTTATGATATTGTCTCACTTTCTCATTGCTAGTACTTTTTCGCAAATTCTTTAATGCACCTAAAAAGACAGATGTAAGTAATATCTGAAGTAGCATGACTTGACAATTTTATATATCCCCATACCTCCAGTATTTGATTTATATCCGCATTCACCAGGATAAATTGCTCTTGATAATTCCGTGAATGTCATACATTCTCCTGTATTTTCTCTACCTTGCATCTCACAGTAAACTACACCTGCATCCTTACCCTCACCAGTAATATGATGTACCTCTGTAAGATAGGCAGCATCCTGCCAAGATATGTAATCATGAAATATATTTTCAAAGAAAACCATTTTATGTAAGTACTACAAATAAATAAACACTTTGTGATGATACTTTATGCTGAATGGACTGTAATTATGAATGTTAATGATTTCAACAACTACCTGAAGAGTAGGATAAAGTATATGCTCAAGATAAATTGGCATTAGCGAGAGGAATCCTTCACTGCCAGCAGTTGTCATGGTATAATAAGTATGGTCACGTTCTGTGTGAGCATTAGTGCCAGATGCCAGACATCTATTAGCCCAGAGATCCAGGACACCTTTGTAGGGATAATCCTCACTGCCCAAAAAGATAAGATGCTCCAGTGTATGAGGAATGCCATCATCGTCGAGTGCTTCGGTAACTGATACAGAAAGATCTTTTGTAAGCTTCAATAATTAATAAACAACTTCAATTAAAATTTACTATAGATTGTTAGGGAATAGTATTAGGAAATATTGGACATTGTTATCCATTTTAACATTTTACAATTATGTCTATTATATCTACATATGCCTGTAAGTGCATATGTAAGCACACACTCAGCAAGTGTACATATGTTTGTAAAAAGTGTTGATAAGTGTTGATAAAGTGGTATTAGAAAAAATTTGATATATGGAATTATTATCAGTGACGTGTCAATTACCAAGATTAAAATAACCACTGACAACCGGTCCGTCTACTTCTGCGATACAAACTGTCATGCCGGTGTTCGTGGATTTATACATATGGACCGGAATCGTATCCACTGCCTTTAACGAGCATGTCAACTCGAATCCACCCATATTTTCTCTCGGAGAACTATCAACAGGTGCCATACTCCGTTATCAAAGTATAAATTCGTGCAAAGTTATAATTCTAACCGCAACGAGATCCTTCCTCCTCTCCTTTCGGGCATAATCAGGGGTTGGAATCCTATTGGCCAGTTCTGTCTAGTTGGACAGAGTTTAGAGATGGGCGATATCACTTTGATTATCTCGACATCGATTATTTTTACCTTACAAATGCCCGTTTCTACCACAACTGTGGTGATGGCTGGTTATTCCGTCAGAATTGACCAATCGCGTTTGTCAATTCTAATTAACGACAAATGCGATCGGTAAGTAACTGTTGAAATAACCAGTCAGTTAAATTAATACTATAATTTATACTATTGTAACATTCGTGCATCTGATTGTGATGTGTGCTCTTGGATTCAGCTAAATTTAAGAACATACGCCAATTAAATTCACAAATTTTATAGCAGTTGTAATAAGCAGCTTTTTTGGTTGAACGCAGATAGTAAAGACGGTAAAGACACTAAAGATCATCAGCCCTGAGTAAATTTTCGTATTGCCGAAAGGACCTCGAGGGGCCTGGAGGTAATTCAAGAGTCATGACATACCGACTGTTTCAACTATATACACTGTGTGATGAAAACAGGTCGTTTTATTTCTGAGCTACATACAGTAGTAGCCGATAATGGTATAATCGGTGAATACACCTTGATGACAATGAAACCTAATCTGTTCTTCTTTCAAGACATTTTTAAAGACATTGGAAAGAAATAAAATTAAAATTGCATTTGATAGTATTCGTCGGATTACGTATGATGGCACCACCTTCGAATTTTTCCCTCCACCGGAAGTGCCCGATCCGCCATTGAGACGCACTATTAGAAAATAAAGATACTTTTGCTTCAGCGCTACGTACTATTTATATTGTTTCCACGTTTCCACTACATTTCAACGACATGCCGGGCACCTCTTTACAACGGCCAGGTAAATCGACTATCCTCTTCTCCGGGGACAATAAATGCATAACGAAATACCGACTGACCGGCGCATCATTCGTTTATCGCGCGCTACAGACATGGATCGACTCCTCTCGCGAGTTTACGATCTCGCGAGTCGAATCGACGGCGGATCAGAGCGCCTTTCACAAGCAGGCCTCGATCGAGCTTTAGCTGCGTGCGCTTTGTGAGTGCGCTCGATTTGTCAAGGTGAGCGTAGCGAAGCGGGTCGTCGCGCCGGACGCCGCGTTAATTCGTGCTCGCGGCGTGAACAAGCTCGTCGACGGCGCGCGGGCGCGCGTGTGCCGATCCGATATTCGGAGTAACTACCAAGAGGAGCCAAGCGGAACGACGTACGGAGGGAGAACGGCGGCGACAAGGACGACGACGACGACGACGACGAAAACGACGACGAGGAGGAGGTGGTGGCGGCGGAGGAGTACGCGCGGCCGTTGGTCTTGTGGCAATGTAGCGAGCATCGAAGACCGCTGGGTGTCCGGCGGGACTGTTCGCGCGTCCTGTGGCCGCGGCGAGTCGTCTCCGGATCATCGTGGGCTGAGGAAGTCGACGTAGGAGCTCCAGGCTCCAGCGCGCTCAGGCGAGAGCTCGTGCGAGCGAGCGAGCGTGTTTCACGAGCTGCTTGCCGACTTGCGCCGGCCGCACTGGGGACGAGCAAGACGGCGACAACGACGAACCACGACGAAGAGCCTCGCGCCACGATCATCGCTGTCGACGATAAGTGCTCGTGAATAAGCAGCTCGTCACGATGGCATCGCAGAACCAAAGCGCTGTTAACGTCACCGCTTCGCCCGGCACCGCGGCGGCGAACGGACCACCGTCGTCGGCACCGATGCTGGGCTCCACCGTCCTCGCCACTGCTGCCGTGATCTCGGCCGCCAAGGCGCAGACCCTCGCCGCTACCGCCGCTCCTGCTCCGACTTCGCCGTCGCCGTCTCAACAGCAGCAGGCGAATAACATTGAGCCACTAGACAAGAGTTCCTCCAATACTCTCAAGGTATATGTCCGAATGAAGCTTCTCTAATGTTTCAGTCGAGCCGTATGACTCTGTGTTATCATTGTTGATACATATATATATATATATATATAAGCTACGATACTTATCTTTTGTAAAAATGGAATGCTTAATGACTGTTACGTGTACTTGCAGCGCAATCCAAAGATGGAGTTGAGCAAAACTGATTTGCTGAAGTTACTGGGGTACTTAGAGGGAGAGCTCCAAGCAAGAGACATTGTGATAGCTGCATTAAAAGTAAATAGCAACATATGACTGTTATTAAGAGAGTATTTCGTGTCTTGTGTATCTTTGTTGAAAAAATTTTGCTAGTTCTTCAGCTCAGACAGTAACATGTGCAAATTTATACGCAGAAATTATATGTGGTAATACACACCATTGGTAAAGTGTTGCAATCTTGTGTGATTAGGATGTTATTGTGCAAAATTTTTTAATTATATTATAGCATAACTTTCATATTATTACACCACTAGTCATCTTCTTTATACCACAATCATGTTTCTTTTCTCTTTCAGTCAGAAAAAATGAAACATCTTCTGAGTTCCCGATATCTCAGTGGAACTGCAGATCCGCACGCAGCGCTAGCTCGCGATGTTGCGATAGTGGGCGGCGTTAGCGGGGTCGAAGGGAATCAAATTGATCAAAAGGTCGCTAGTCTAGAGGCACTAGTGAGCAAGCAAAGAATTGCGCAGTGTAGGATGTCCAAAGTTCTTAGAGACGCTGAGATTAGGCACAGAGCGGTATGTATTTTACTTTGTTCTACTTTGTTTTATTTTAGTACGTTATATTACGAGAAACAATACAATATCGTTAGTGAATAAGCGCTCATTGTGTCATCGCTGTTATATGTTTTCGCAGGTAATTAAAGAATTGGAAGAAGAGAAACGAAAACACGAGCACGATACCGCCCAAGGTGATGACATCACTTACGGTCTCGAGAAAGAGAGAACAAGATTGAAGAAGGAATTGGAGCTAGAGAAACAAGAGAAAAAGAAATTAGAGCTCGAATTAAAGAAGGCTAACGATCACCTCGAAGAGGAAAAGAATCGACAGAAGCAGATAGTGCTTCTACTTTTGGCGGAACGTAAAAAAATCATAATGAAGTACATCGAAGAGAGAAAACGATCTGAGGATTTGGCTCAGATACTCAGCGAGGAGAAAGTTAGGATAGACTCGATGGCCGAGGGCCTCGAGGAAGAGAGCAAGAAGTCATTGCAGATGGAAGCAGAGTTGGAAAAGCAATTAGCGCAATTTGACATGGAGAGGCAGCAGTACCGGCAGGCTCTCGTGAAAGAGGAAAAGAGGGCGAAGGACTTTGAGACGGAATTAGAAAAATTACGAGTCGAGATGGACACGTGGAAAGAGTCGCAGGCTCGAGGTCCTGCGAGGGGTGTCGGTGTAACTCCGCCGCCGCCACCTGCAAAACCAGCGAATCTGGTCGCTATGCCAACACTTAGGCCAGCTAGTGCTCCGCAAACAAGTAAGTTTACGTGTTTTAAATCTGTTGGAAGCTATATATGCGTTAAGAAAAGTCTGGCGATATTTGGTGATTAAATAAGCGATTATCGCCGAATTTACTTGATCTGTGATCAACTGATGTCAAGAAACGAGTCGATTTTACAATTCTTGACAATTTCTCTAGTAAAAGGAGCAGTCTTGGGTACAGGGACTCCTATGGTTAGTAGTAAAGTTGTTCAACCCACTGCCACAGTGTCCAGTGTTCCTGTTAGTGGACCAAGTAAGATTCTTGAAGTATTTTCGTGCAACAATATCGAATCGAATAAGTTTTGTCTTAGCAAATAACTGATATATCTAAGTGCCTTTTGAGTATACAATTCTCTAAACTTGGAATATAACATTTTTTTCTAACATATAAAGTACAAATTTGTCTACATACAGTATATAATTTCATATTTAGATAGTTTCAATTTCGTCAAATATTAGTTAATTTTTTGCGTAAGGAAATTTACAAAAGCGTCATCGCATTATAAACTAATACAATTTTTCGTTGCTTTTAGCAACTGGAATTGCTAGATCAGTAACACCTGGACAGGCACTACGTGGGGTTGCGTATACACCGAATTTAACATCTGCGAGCGGGGAGCCTACAGCTACTCCGGACACGCAGGTAACCTATCCACATTTCCCTACACACTCAACATTAATCTGAAAATTATACAGAGCCTATTTATACACGCAAAGTATTGCAATAGATATTTTTCTATCGTATGTATTGTATCAATTTAAATACTAGATTGCTAGTATTTTTTGAAAAAGAGAGGAAAAGCGCGAGAAACTTAGATAATATAATTTATAAACAGTTTACCGAAATGATAGCAACGTTTAGTTGACATTAAAATCAGAGAAATCAGCTATTTAGTATTTCTATGGAACTTTTCTCTTCCATTAGTACTATATATACACATATACATATATTTATAGTTCAAATTATATATTCAACTTATTATATCAGTATTGTGTTTCGGAGAAAGATAGGGGTTAACTTTAATGAAATATCATGCGTTGATATAAAATAATATCCAAATGAAGAACAAACTACATCATAGTTATATTACGTTAAAAAAAAGTCTTGACGAGTATACGGTATCGTAATTTGCATACGAGAGATGAGGTCAGACGGTTCCGTCAGACAGTTTAGAATTTCAGACATGTCCTAGAGACTGTAATTTTTATAGTGTAAATAGGCTTTTTATAATTCGAAGCTGAAAGTTCACGAGATATCTTTCAAATATCTTGAACGAAAATAGTTCCCTGCACTGCAGTATATAATTGTTAGATCTTTTTTAACCTTGTTTGGTTAATAATCGAAGAAATGTATATTTAAATATCTTATCTTCAGTCATGTTTCGTTTTGCAACTCAGGACTAAAACGCTTTGAAATCACACTGTTGAGACATATGACAAAATTATATATGTACAAATATATTAATTTATCCGTTGAATAATTCTCTCACACTCGACACACTTTGATCTTATAATAAGATTATTGCATTTGTTGTTACACTGATTTTATGAGCACTTTATAAGTTTCTCTAGTCTTATACATTTTATTTCGATACTTTAGGTCGTAAGTATCTCACACACACACACACACACACACACACACACACACACACACACACACACACGCACACACACCACACACACACACACACACACACACGCGCGCGCGCGCGCGCGCGCGCGAGATACACATACACTCACACTTGGTTCGTCGTGTATTTATTATAATTACATGATTATTATCAAATTATGCATATATGTGTCACTATTTAATTTGAAAGCACAGATATATATTTATCGTCTTTTTTTTATTTGAGATGCAGACGGTTAAACATTTTACTGACCGAATTGTTATATTTTCACGCTGTCGTATCACATGACAGTCGTTTTGGTAGAGAATTGGGGCGGGTCGATCGAAGAAATGGTTTTCTCACTGCTATCGCCTTCTTTAATTCGACGCACAGAATTACTCTCGCCTTGCTCTCATCGAATCTCATTCTCGCTATTTCTATCGCTCGTATTATCCAGTGGTGTACTGAAATTGCGGGACAATTCGACTTCGCTTTTAGGGGTTTCTATTAGGTGACTGTGAACATTCGAAAACGGACTATTCTGAGGAGGGTTTGCTTTACATTTACGTATCTTTTGTACACACGTTATTTGCAGCATTTAGTGCAATTTGTTATACACACACATACACAACGTACACGCTCGTAACGCAATATGTTATACACTTCCTCTATATAACGATCTAAGTTAGCACACCATCAATATATCTAGAATTATATTTTATTACGATACTTTTATTTTGTGTACATAAGATTATTATTTCACATGTACGTCGACCGATTCCTACAATTAAAAAAAGTTGTATGCAACTCATTTCTGAGCCTTATTTACAATTCTCCCCGCTTGACTTCACACATAATCGCTATCCCGTAATCGCTGCTACTAAATTATATATGGTTTGGTTACGACCTTGGACGTCTACTATATATATATATATATATATCTATATTTAGTCTATATATATATATTTAGTTGGTTTGCAAGCAGTTCCTTAACAAGCAGGTGGTACGCGTCTGGCCATGAATCAGAGCTCTTTTATTTTTATCATAACAATCCCTCGATCTCGAGAGAGATTCGCACCTCGAAGTACTCGTTTCGACTCTCGAGTCAGGCTTTCTCCGTTTTATCCTATTCGTCTCTTTCTTTCTTTCTCCGAGGATCTGTCGCACATTTCATCCTATTTATTAATCCACTCTCCGTAACTCGGATTGCGTCTTCTAGTAATTTGCGAAGGATACGCGGTCGATTCGAGAGAGAGAGAGAGAGAGAGAGAGAGAGAGAGAGAGAGAGAGAGAGAAGAGAGAGAGAGAGAGAGAGAGAGAGAGAGAGAGAGAGAGAGGAGTTCCCTCCTCATGATTGTCTATTAACAGTAGACGGTATGCGCAACTTAATCCGATATATCCCGGCAAAATCGCGAGTTGCGGTCGTTCTTTCTCTTTTCCTTTCCGCTTGAATAACCGGTGAATAACCATCTCTTCCTCTCCTCGCATCGATCTTACGACTGCAGTCTCTCATAATTCCACCGTCAGCTCCTTCTTACCTTTTGCCGAAGTCTCTGCTTTGGATTAGTTCTTTGGTATGGTTCTTTTCTTTCTCTACCCCCTTGTCCATCGACCACTTAAAAAATCTGAAAGATCCTTGAAACCCACCAAGAGTAACGTTTTATCACGTTGTGAAGTTCGCTACTGTTAGCGACGGAATGTCCGTCTGTCTGCCTATCTGCCTGCCTGTTTGTCCACCTACCTGTCTATCTGTCTGTCTGTCTGTCTGTCTGTCTGCCTGTCTGTCCGGCGAAACGACTGTAAGCCGGCGCCGCCGGGGCGTTGTCGCCGTCGGCGGCGCAACCCTCTCAAAAGTCGGTCATGGTTGTGTGTGTTCATTCCTCAGGCCGTAGACAAGCGACCGGTCGTACCTGCTCCTGTTAATACTGCGACCGCCGCGGCTAAGCTTATAACGTCGTCGCAAGCCGCAGGGAAGCTCGGCTTTCACGTTGGCCCCGGCAGTCCCGCCGTTCAAGCACCGAGTACCGTCACCACCACCGCCGCCGCCGCCTCCACCGCTGCTGGTATACTGCCGGCGAAAAAGCCGCCGATCTCGCGCGGCGTGCCGCCCCCGGTACCACCGAATAAGCCAGTGGTACCGCCGAAAAAGGAGGCCGCTTACCTCAGAAGACCGGAACTGTCGCAAAGCACACAGCAGGATAATACCGTTAAGTTCGGCAAGCAGGCCTCGTCGCACGCCACGGCGGCGAGCGGGACCGCCGCGCAGGCCTCGCAGGCGCAGCAACCGAGCGCCGTCGCCCAGGCTGCCGACGAAGAGGTCAGTAGCACGACAGGCTCGAGATAAATACTTAAGGCTTAGCCGCTCAATGATCGTTACGCATTCGCGTTGGATAAGCGCGCTCGTCCGCGAGAGAAACGCGCGAAACGGCCGGTGTAGATGCTACATTCATATACACACTTACGCAAGCATACACACATACGCATACACGCACACACACATACACACACACATACACACACAGACGCCAAGCACACACGCGATATGATAGCGTATGTTCAACCGGAGCATATGTGTGAATGTGATTTCAGACAAAGCCGCGTTGATCTAGCGCGGCGAGAGCGAAAGAGAAAGAGAGAGAAAGAAAAGCGAGAGGGTGAAAGCGTGCACACAGATATGTCGACGTACATACACACACACACACACACACACATCGAGGTGTGTGCATGATAGAAGAGGATACGAAGAGGGAAAGAGAAACACGCTAGCAAGCTAATATAAGATGGACCGCGCGGCGTAGGAGATTCCGTCTCGCGGAGAAGACCTTGTCCGAGATCCAGGAGAGTCAAGAAAAAGAGAGAGAAAGGAACAAGAGGAGTGAGGCGCTTCGTGACACACTCGTTGGAAATACGTTGAAGTCGACGGACGAAATCGAGGGAAGAACAGTCGCGTGTGCGCGCTCACACGACTAGATCTCACGGCTGCGGTCCGCTCGCATTCTCCGGAAACGGGGTTCCGTTCGTTCCAACGGAACAACGGCTAGCATCCGTTAAGCTAAGCGCTAGAGCGGAACTAGAGTTATTCTTCGGATACATAAGGTAGCCTTCGTAGGTTCCTAAGTAGTTTACTTTGTACCGGCTCGTCTCGGACGGCCGAGTTTCGTAGGGCGCCTCGACGACCTCGTACACGAGAAATCGCTTGTGCGAGCGCGAGCTGGTTGCATCAGCGTGTACTTCAACACCAAGCACTCCTTCTGGTCGATTAAGTTTTCTTTCCCGTTCGAGGAGCGCGTACACACACACACACACACACACACACATACATTATGTATATTGATTCTCCGGTGAATTTCGGACGTCTTTTCTCTGGATCGTCTCTGCGGAGACATTTCTTTCTTGTATATATTTTTATATATTTGTAAATTTGTATGTGTACATACATTATCGGGAGGGATAGCAGTATCCCTCAGTAGGGTATTTTTTCTTCGACCACTTCGCCGGTAGTCATGTTATTATATACCGGGTGGCATGTAACCATGTGTAGCGCCAGATCGGATTTGCGTTTCCGCGGTCGACTTCGCGTGCTCGCGCGCGCGGATTTCCGGATCCTCATCTGATAACCGGATTTCAGCGCTGTGTCCCTCGCGCGTTGCGTGTCTCGTCGTGACCGTTGTGACGGATGGAACTCGGAATCCGAGAAGGCGCGGCGCGGTGTGTGTCAAAGTCTCTGAAGCAGATTCAATTAGAGCAGACGGTCGATGCAACTCGGCTTGAAGCGGGAAACTTAGAAGAAGCTATCGCGTGCTATAATCACTGCCTCGTCTCGCATAATTTCGTAAAAGTCGGTACAAACTTATAGAGCTGTGTCCCGGGAGGAAGATATTTTGCGTATACACACACCGGGTCGCCGACGAGTCAGTCGCGGTCGTCGCATTGTCCCTCCCGAGAGAACGCGGTATTTATTTTCCGTCTCGTCTAAGCTTCGCTGAAACCTCCTTTGACGAAGATCTATCTCCGCGGACAAGCGGGAAAGTAGAAAGAACGAACAGATCGGTGTTTTGTACTCCACTCGTTTAAAACCGTCGACGAACCGTCGAGCGAAGAAGCAAGCGGCTGGTTAGCAAAGCGTGCGCGCGGCGATTGCATTTACAGTGCCGGGCGGTCGCGGAGACGAACCTTCCTTCTCTTCGCAGATTTTCACCGTCCTTAATTTAGAGAGCACGATCGAGATCGGTCGCTTATAGATCACGAGGACGCTTTAGAGGAACACTCGCCATTCGTACCGGTTGAACGGTTCGTCTCACGACCGCAGTTCGCCCGTTCGATCGCGACAGATACCCTGTGTAGCAGTTACGAGTCCTCGTAACTGTCTCGAATAGCTTCCGCTTCTTCCTTATTCTGTATGGAAAAGAGAAGAAGGAGAAGCGGAAGTCACAGGCGACTTCGTGTCACGTTTTACCGATCGCACTCGCGAAATATTCATCCGCGAAGAAGATGTAGGCAGCCGACAACTGCACACACACACACACACACACACACCTACATGCAAAGCACACACACACACACACACAGTAGGTCCTATAATCTTAGGAGATATCCCTCTAACCCGGGCGTCACGATATGCGTTGTCGCCGAAATTACGAAAGAGCATCCTGGCATTGCGAAGTCTTCCAGTGTGTTTTAGTTCACGCGCGTATTTCTTAGTGTTTAAGTTCGCGGTTTCTCCGATCGCGTTACGACCCCGTCGCAATCCCGTGGCGGCGCAACACCCTCGTATGTAACTACATAGGAAACACAAGAAATCACTCTGTCGGTCGTCATTGCGACAACACACAAGCGGAAACTGCTCTGGGACCAGGACCAAGGGAGTTACAGCCTGTAACACTGAGGATATAGAAAAAACAAAAACATGCTCGCAATAATGACTATTATTACTGCTACTACTGCTACTATTACCATTACTATTACTACTACTACTACTGCTACTACTACTACTACTACTGCAAAACAGCAGCAAGCAGAGCAGCAACAAAAAACAGTAACAATAACAATAATGTATTATAATAGTGAAATAACGAATAATAACGTTGTAAAACAATAATCAGAGATTATGCGATGCCGCGTCGGTTGGCGATCACGACGACGCCGGTGTCGTCGATCAAGTGGAATAAGCTAAATGGTAACGCGACGCTGACACAATTGCGTAACACTGCGTAGCATTAGCGGCAACGACAACGGCAGCGGCGGCGGTGTAGCTGTAACAGCCGGACCGAGATGATTAACGATGTTAGTATTAGAGAAGTTAACGGTAGAAAGTAGCTCTAACGACTATGATAATAATAATAATAATGAATGATAGATGTGCTTCTCGCGCCGACTAAGGGAGAGAAATGAAAGAGATTTTTTGCACCGAGAGAGAAGCGATTCTGCGTGACTGTCGGTGACGTTTCGTGACGGGAGAAGGCGACTCTTCGTCGGAGATCTCAGTATCGCGCGCATATCTCGTTGCGTGCGAGCTCGTTGTCTAAGTCAAGATTATAATCACCGCGGTGATTCGTCCGAGTTAGACTGTGGATGTATATTTAAGGATACCACTCTCCGCGATAGCGGCTGTCGATTGCGAGCGAGAGAGCTGTTCCAGACTTAGAACCGAGAAATGGCTCTTGAGGTGCGTCGTCTACGCGAGAATTGTTATTCTCCGAGGGCGACTTTTGTTACACACACACACACACACACACACACACACATACACACACACACTCAGACATCCACGTACACGTCTCACATTCACAACACGTACAGGTCGTGCTATACATGCAAAAATTTATACATATATATATATATATATATATAGAAAGTTATATAAAGAAATGTTTAAGAAAGTTCAGCAAAGTACATCCGAGGTCTATACTCTGATCGCGCGTTTAGCGTCAAGCATAATCATTCGGTTTCCCACTTTGTTCGTCTCGCGCACGAAAATTGGAAATTCAATATCAACGGCCGCGTTTAACGCTGGACGCGCGAACATCCAGAAGACGCACCTCTCCGACTCTCGAAGGCCGCTGTGTTCTCGCGTAGCATCCATCGCACAAAGTTTCCGCTTTCCGCGTGCCGATGTGTGTGTGCGTGTATGTGCGTGTATGTGCCTGTGACTGAGAGACGTTAGCGGCTAATTAATAATTAACAGCTCGGGAGAGTCCGAGAGACGATCCGCGAGCGAATTGTGAGTGCGATTCTCTCGATTAGACTTTCAGCACATACACATACACATACACACACACACACAGAGAGAGAGAGACACACACACACACACACACACACACATACAAGTACGATAAAAACACACATGTCACAGACGTAGCTCCATATGAAGTGAAAGATACTTTGGTACTTGATTGATAGGTAATCAGTGTACATAGTAATCGATATGACGTTACGTAAGAGCGTAAGTTAGCGGCGAACGAATGAGGGGCAGAGACGGCAGGTGAGTCACGAGTCGTGATTCGCGTCTTGTTAATTCTGTCGAATACAATGTGTATATACAATGTGTACAACAAGGCACAGTGCCAGTCGCGCATGTTAAGGGCGGCCGTTAAAGTTTTAGGGGTGAGACAGCCGGGGTCGATAGAGCGAGTCGTAATTGTACGTAAAAGCGACGAGTGTATATCGAGCGTCCGAAGCACGAGAAAGAGAGAGAGAGAGAGAGAGAGAGAGAGAGAGAGAGAGAGAGAGAGAGAGAGAGAGAGAGAGAGAGAGAGAGGGAGAGAGAACAAAAAAGGAGGAGATGGCGAGGGCGGATGCTCGTCGTAAGCTGTCACAGGAAAAAATATTATATATCGTAAGAGCGATTCATATCTCTAAACATTAGCGAGTTGTTAAGTCCGCTGTCTTTGTTGGCGTTTCCCATTAGTTGTGCGTTCTCGCGATCGTGTGTACATTAAAGGTGCACATTCAACGGCGGCGGTTCCCGGCCGGCGCGACGACGTGTCTTGCAGCGCGGTGTTGCGAGCGAGCATTTCGACGAAGCATTTTTTTTCTCTTTTTTCTTTTTCTTTCGTATTTTCGTCTCGAGGTTGTTACTAACGCGAAGGGCTGCGTCTCTCGAGAGGTTTCCGTCTCTCCGCGTTCGGGAGCTCCTGCGCGATTGCAATTGCGGTATCGATTATCGGTATTTGATATTTGAGGCTTTCGCGCTGCGGTGAAACGAGCTGGCTTCCGAGCTGGAGCCGCGTTTTTCGCCCGGATTTGCTTTCGACGAGTCGTCAACGTCACGGTTCGCTTCGTCATTTCCCCGCGGTGGAGTCGCGAAGACGCGAGATTCGCGAATCTGCGTCGGATGACTCCTCGTCGACGCTGACGACGTATCCTCGCGTGTCCCAATGGCGAAACGAAGCGTGTGTTGCGGATTACAGGGCAAATCAGAGAGCTGGGAAAAACAAGCAAGAAGCATTATATAAAAATGCAAAATCGCATCGGCGATCGAGCGAGAGAGTGGCCCGGATCGCATGCTTCCGTTGCGAAAATTATTCTCGCGTGCGCGAGAGATCTCTCTCTTTCTAGCGGTACAACAAAGTGCGCCCGGAATATCTCACTTACCTTTATCGCATTTATTTTCCTTCCCGTACCGAGATAAAATGTTACAAGTACCGCATGGCCGTGCATCGCGGGGCGCACGAAGAGCGGAGCATGCGATTAACGAGAATTTTCCCATAATCTCGTGACTCGGACTACTTTCGCGATCGCCGCCACGATCCATCCTCTCGGAGTTTGAGCTGCCGATTATTGGTGCCGCGATTTCGTCCTGATCTTTGTCGGGACACCTTGTCATCCTCACCGCGCCGTCGCGCGTTTCGTCGCATAGATAGGAAAGACTTGAGAGAGATCCTCTGTGAGCGATAGCGAATTGTTAGAAGAAAAAGAGAGAGAGAGAGAGAGAGAGAAAGAGAGAGACAAACTTTTATATTATGCGCAAGATGTTCACTTACGAGCGCCATTATACGCATATTACACGCGGTACATTCACAATCAAAGCGTCCCTCTTCCTCCGCATCTTTCACGCGGGATCGCGCGTGTTGACGACAAGTGCGTCACGGTGATAAGGCAAAAGACACCCTCCTTGTCGACCGATCGATCGATCAGACTCCATCGGCTGGCATCGGGATGCGATAAATACGGGATAACACGAGAGAAAGCGCAGCTGCGTTGTCATCGTTGCTGCTTGTGTCTTTTGTCTTAACGCGGGAACGCGTGAACCTTACCCATGTCAAAGTACCGGATCAAAACTATCGTATTCACTGGAGTGTGTGTGCTCTTCGTGCGCGAGCGCACGTCATTTTATATGTAAGTGTTATTATGAACTATATTCTCTCTCCAGATCGTAGATAGAACCGATGACTCTCGCGAGCGGGGCTGAGAGTACTTATTAATTGACTATAATTACTAGAGCGTGTGCGTGTGCGCGCGGGTCAATAGGCCGTGCGAGGCCTTCCGAGATTGTAAATAGTACAACTATTTAATACCGCTTATACATATATACATAATATACATACGAACCTAGATTTTTAAACGGAACTGTGATTTTTTTACGTTGTAAGGCGCTTTCGATTGCTGCTTTTATTTTCCGATTTTTCTCTCCTTCTATGAGACTCCATCGAGTTAGCCTATCTCGCCGAGTGTAATTAGGGCTTATTAGACGTTCACCTGTGGTGCATTGTACACTGTCGGTCAACAGTTTGAGTAGCGTAGAAATGTGAAATCCGGCGTTGGCGCCCAGTTGTCTGACGACGATCGGCTGCTCTTGAAGACGGCAAGCTGAAACAGGAAGCGGGCAATTATTGTAGTAGCTAGTAGGACTTTAGATATATTTTCGTATGAGTGTTGAGGAGTTTGTCGTCAAATGAGGTGTAAAGCGATCAAATGAGAAATAATGAAAACACCACACAAGCCTACTGACTGATTATCGATGGGAATATCAAAATTGCGTCTCTTGCGGTTTACCGAGATTTTTTGTAGTTGTGTAAACGAGAGAAAGAGAGAGAGAGAGAGAGAGAGAGAAACAAAGATATCGATTTCAAATCGAGACGCTCCGTACGCAAAATAAACTCGACGACTTCTGTTCAAACGTTACTCCACGCAAAATTAAGGTAGATTTACTCAAACTATTGGCTGTGCGTGATAGTGTGTACTTTTCATGTTTTTTTCTTTTACGTATTAACTGTTCACGTTTCAGGATGTTTTAGCTCTAAATCCCATCGCGATGTAAATATATCAGGTAACTTCCGCGCTTTTTTAAAGAATGCCAACACCGAAGTTCAGTTCGAGATCTTCCAGTAGCGTCCGTTGTAGCCCCGATGGAATGAAATGAAATGAAATGAAATGAAACGAAACGAAATGAAAATTCTCGAGCGTCGGACACTCCCCTCCTCGGCAAACCGATCCCCGCAATTGTACTTAGTACGTGTACAATTTGTAAATTGCGTCACTCTCGTCGCAAGAGGTGTGCCTCCTCCTCGTGCGTAGGCGGAGGTCTACTCTCGGATAGATTTGCAAATATACTTTGTAAGTTGTCGTAACGATTAATATCGATATACTCTGCCGATCAATGAGCGTTAGAACATAGGAGATCCGTATTTATTTTAAACTATATCCTGTATACTGAGATATATCACACACAGCATGGTACCTGTCGATATTGATTGAGTTCACGTCGATGATCACGAGCAGCGAGCGATTGTCTTATCGATGTACAGAATTCTAGCGAGATCCTTGAGGTGACGTTTTCTTTTTCCGAACAATCGTCGCGGCAGAAGAGAGGGAAAAACGCTTCGGACCGCAGGAAATTGCGGTCTCTGTAGAAGAGATGTAATAAAGACGGACGGATGGAAAAACAAAAAGAGAGAGGAAAGAAAGACGCGCTCGCGTCCGTTTTTCTGTTCGAACGTGCAATTAGCGAATCAGGTCGAATGTGTAAGCGCTCTAGCCGATTTCTTTTCTTCGCCGATCGCGCGAATCCCGCGCGTGTGTGATCTCGTGTGTTGCGACGGACTCGTTCGAATCTACGAAAAATATTCCGTCGACGAAGTTCACGTTCCGGTGATAAGATACTCTTCGATCGAAAAATTCCCGTCTCCGTATAATTTGCACGACTTAGCGAATCAATAGCGAAAGTAGGACTCGTAATCGTAATAATTCCTCGATATTGATACTCTAATTTCACCGTTGCTTGCGAATGTGTACTGTGACCGTGACGACGAACTGCAAGTCTTCTTTTGCTTAATTGACTTGCTTCTTTTCTCATATTTCGGATATCGCGCTCTTGAATTACGCATAATGAGACTTGTGTTTTTTTCTTGCGTGGGAGCACGTGAAAGCACTCGTGAACAATTGTGCGCAACGTAGATCGCGAGCAAATAAGTTGCATCAAGACTGAGCAGTCTAGTAATAACGACCCGCTGTTAAACTGATTTCGACGAGCGATCTTGTTTGCCTCACGAAGAAGAGACTAGATTCGAACATCGCAACCGGATGTAACGTCTAACAGATGTATTTCCATTAAGATCTATCTAGTACTTCGTTTCTACCATAATTGTTCGACATTATCATCATTGTCATCATCATCATTATCACTCTCTCACGATCATCGTCATTATCATCCTCTATGTCCAGAATGACAACAAATGTAATGTAATACAATAGTAATTGTTATCTTCTGTGCTATACAAAAGGAAAAATATACATTGACATATGATTACAAGGCTCTTCATCTTCTCTCATTTTCCCCGATAACAATCGAAAGACGCATTGCGTATCCGGCGTTATTTACAGGCGTATTTAAAATTTTGCAAAAGGAACTTTACAATTCAGTATCCTTGGTGGAAAAATAAAAATTTCTTGAAACTAGTCGGTTGCATCTTTCAATTTCAATCTTTTTCCAAATCTCATCCCAATCCCAAATTCCAATAAAATAATTCAATATCCGATTCTTCAGTTCTAATACCGTTTTAATTACAAGTCTGCTTGTTTGATTCTATATTGGAGATGGACATGGGACGGAATTGCGTGGCGCGGGGGGAGGGGGGGAGGGCAACAGACCGAGATTTATAAGTTGACAATCAGTTTTAATAGTCGCAATAGAAAACAATATACAGAATACAGATACAGAATAATCCTAGCTCGACGAAAGGCTCCTAGGTAAAATGTTGTTAATTGTGTAGTGAAAAATTATGAATGGGGAAGAAAACAAGATGATACACATAATGAGTGGCTTATTT